TGCCGTCCGCTGTGGCCGTTCTCCGGAGGCTCTTGTCCCGGCGTTCAGAGAGAGGAGGCGGGAGCTCGGGAGGAGCTGCAGGGGGACGCCCCGCGCGGGGCAGCCTGACGGAAGCCGCCCGTCCACGGGCCAGGCCCCGGAGCCTGACCTGCAGCGGCCTCTGCCGCCCCCCTGCACGCTCTGCCGCCCCCCTGCACGGCGCTCTGGCAGCCGCGCCTCCGGCCTCCCGGGAGCGGGCGGGGGCGGAGCCTGCCACACACACTGCCCACCCCAGTGCGGAGCCTGGCACCGGTGCCATCCCCTCCCCTTTCCTCAGACGGGGAGGCAAATTACCCCCAGGAAGCCGAGACGAGCCGCCCGATCCAGCCACCTGTGGGCGCTTCTCCTGGACGGGCGCCCGCTGGCACCGCGTGTGCCCCGCCGCCTGCCCCACGCCCCACCGCCTTGCCACATCCGTGCCCGCAGGGTTAAAGTTTGTGCGTGGCCTGTTGTGGTCAGACCCTGTGAGGAATGACGGGCAGAGGGACATACATGCCATCCGTTTCCCTAAGGACAGACCGAGGGCACCCACGACCAACCAGGGGCGATTTGGCCAGAACCTAAGCTCAGAGGGCAGGTTCTTAAGAGCCGCCGCCCCGAACCCGGACCCAGGCTGGGGTCCCCCCGCCAGCACGCCGTCACAGGCAGGACGGGCCTGGGCGTCGGGCATCCTCACCATCGGCCGGTGGGTGTGACCTTAGGCAGAGGAGAGCAGGAAGGGCGAGGGTGCAGGCCCACGGCCAGGCAGGCCCTGTGCGCCCTAGGGGGGCGGAGCCAGACTCTCAGGCTTCTCACCCCCCACCTCCCCACTCCGGGCCGGCAGGTGGGCTTATTTACAAGGCGAAGCCCCACCTAGTCCTCATTCCCTTGTCCTTGCCTGTCAGATCCAGAGCCAGGGCCCTGGTCTTGGGCACTCTCCCGGTCACTGAGCCACGCCCACTCGGAAGGCCCCGCCCCCTGGGGTGAATAATTAAGCCCTGCAGGGCAGTCTGTGGGTCTGAGCCCCACCCACATGGTTGGCCACGCCCCCTCCCTGGAGGTGAATAATGAAACCTTATAGGGCAGTCTGTGGGTCTGAGCCCCGCCCACATGGTTGGCCACGCCCCCTCCCTGGAGGTGAATAATGAAACCCTATAGGGCAGTCTGGGTCTGAGCCCTGCCCACGTAGTTGGCCACGCCCCTCCCTGGAGGTGAATAATGAAACCTTATAGGGCAGTCTGTGGGTCTGAGCCCCGCCCACATGGTTGGCCACGCCCCCTCCCTGGAGGTAAATAATGAAACCCTATAGGGCAGTCTGGGTCTGAGCCCCGCCCACATGGTTGGCCACGCCCCTCCCTGGAGGTGAATAATGAAACCCTATAGGGCAGTCTGGGTCTGAGCCCTGCCCACGTGGTTGGCCACGCCCCTCCCTGGAGGTGAATAATGAAACCCTATAGGGCAGTCTGGGTCTGAGCCCCGCCCACATGGTTGGCCACGCCCCCTCCCTGGGGTGCATAATTAAACCTGCAGGGCAGTCTGTGGGTCCTGGCTGAGTCCTTTGCTGAAGCCCCTCCCTGCTGCTGGCTCCAGGCTCTGGGCTGGGAGGGCTGGGACTGGAGCTGCTGGCATCAGCGCCTGCTCAGGGCGGCCCCTTCCTGGGTGTTCCCTCTGGAGGGGGCTGGCAGCCCGCCCCCTGCTGGTCTGGCTTCGCTCCCCGGCCCCTCCCGAGTGCGGGCTGCCCGCTGTCTGGAGGAGGGTGCTGCCCTGGGGCGGGGGTCCCACTGGCAAAGGAAGGGGCTGCTGGGCCTGCGAGGGGTCTGGCCCCGCCATCTTTCCTTCTGAGCGCTGAGGAGGGGCTTCCTGACGCCCCGACATGAGCTGATGCCCAGAGCCAGTGTAGGTTCCGCCCCCACCTGCTGTCCCGGGTGCCGAGGCCGGAGCCAGCCCCCAGCAGCCAGCCCGGCTCCTGGGATGACAGCGGTGCTGCCCGCCAGGGCCCGGCGGGCTGGCTGCGGAGGGCCATCCTGCTGGCAGGGCTGGTGCCACGCCCCCGGGCCACCGTGTGGGCTGGGTCCTCCCCGGGGGTTCCACTCTGGGTCCCATCCGCCCCCAGGGGCGTGCTCCGGCCGGGTGGCGGGGTCAGCGTCTGGCGTGCTGCAGCGGGAAGTGATGGGGGGCCGGTGGCAGGGACCCCGTGTCCTATGGGTCTCGGATCTCGGTTCGGCAGCTGACCGAGAGGGGGTGAGATGGTGAGATGGCTCTGAGATGGCTCTCGCGTGGCCGGTGATGTAACCCCCTCCGGTCCGCCCCTCGGTCTGCTTTGAGCTCCCCTGTGTCAACGCGGCCCCCTTGCCTTTCCTCCGGTCCTCCTGCCACCTCCTGGCACCTGGTACCCGAACTCGGCCACCTTCCCACTCCCTCCTCCCCGCCTTCCCGCCTTCCCGCTGGCTGCGCTTCCCGTCGGCGGGCAGGTCACCAGGGCCGTGGCATCAGGCCGAGTCCCTCCCGCCCGCTCTGGGCAGTGGGCACGGGCGGGGCCTGTTGCCCGCGGGGCCCGTCCAGGCGGAGCGGAGAGACGGCTGGCGGGGAGGCTGCGCGCCCAGGAGGCCGTCCCGCCCGCTTCCTCGGACGCCTGCCACGCCTCGTACAGAACATGAACACACCGCGTGCACTGCCCGGCGCCCGGCCAGCAGGTGGCACGGGGCCTGGAGAGGTCCGTGGCCTTTTCAACTCGCGGTGGCAGCGAGCGGCTATAAGCCGCCAGCGATGGAGAACACGGCGTCTGGGAAGAGCATCAGCCGCTCCGATCCCCCTGGCCGCCCGCCTGGGAGCCGGCTCAGGGATGAGCCAGCGCTCGGCACGCTGTCCCGGCGGCAGGTGAGCCAGCGGCTGGCACGGCGTCTCTTCCCACGGCCGAGGCCAGGCCTGGGGCCGTGCCGGGCACCTGCGCCAGCGCTGCTCCGGTGTCCGGTGGTGGCCGGGGCCGGAGTCCCTGGTGCCGAGCTCCTCGGCGGTGCCACCCCCGTGCGAGGGACGGACCACCCCTTCCTGGGGGCTGGGCGCTGGGTCCGAGCTGAGCACCACCCAGGAAGGTCAGAGGGCCGCGGGAGGCGGTGACTCCGGGTGCTGGCCCCCACGCTGCCCCTCCCTCTGTCCTACCTGGCGTTTCCTTCCTGAGCTGGGAAATCCATGACCCATGTTTCTGGTCTCTCTTGATTTTTTAAAGATATATTTCGTTTATTTCTGAGGGAGAGGGAGAGGGAGAGGGAGAGGGAGAGGGAGAGGGAGAGGGAGAGGGAGAGAAGCATCAGTGATGAGACAGAATCATCCATCGGCGGCCTCCTGCACGCTCCACGCTGGGGATGGAGCCCAGCCCCCGGGCCTGTGCCCTGACCGGGAATCACACTGGACCGCCTGGTTCCTAGGCTGATGCTCAGACGCTGAGCCACCGGCCGGGCTCCGGGCTCTTGCTAAGGTGACAGGCGACTGCGCGGAGCTGGGCTGTAGCAATGCTTCCCTGGAGGCGGGGCCTCGGCACGGGGGCTGGTGCGCGGTGCGTGCGGGCACCACCTGGGCCGTGCTTTGTACCCGAGAAGAGAGTTCCCTCTCCCGTCCACCCGGTCACCGCGGACCCCGCCCACCCTGCGTGGGCCCCTCCCTCCCAGCACCCTCCGCAGGGCCGGACTGACCACCCTGGCCGGGCACTGCTCCCTCCCAGGCCGCCCTCCCGGGCACAGGGCTCTGTCTGTCTTGTCTGCCACCTGCGCCTCCCCCACCCCCAGATGGTTGTGCTGAGCTCCACAGGAGACCCCCATGGGGGTCCTTTCTCACCTCCGGTCGCCCGCCCTGGTTATAAAGGTGGGGCCCCCCTCTGAGTGGGCCCCAGGCCCGTAACAGCCCCGCTGGGGAGGAGGGCCGTGAGCAGGCCAGGCCCCGAGGGCTCAGTGGCAGGAGCAGTGGGCACCGGCCTTTTCCTAGCAGGCGTCAAATAGTTGGTATAAGCTGAGCCTTCTTCAGGAACAGCTCGATCCAGGCGCCCACACAAGCTGGTGGGAGTCTGTCTCTGCGTCCCAGAGGGGCTCTCCCTGCGCCCCGGGAGGCGGCCCCGGCTGCCCCTGAGCCCCGTCACCGTGACGCCATGCCGACGCCAAGGGGCCTTGCGAGGGGGGTGACGGGAATTGAACTCACCATGTGAAGCCGGCTTGTGTGGGGCGGGCACGGAGGCCGGCTTTTGCTCGTGGGCGCTGGAGAGGCGAGCTGCATAGCCCGTGGGCGGCCTCCGTGGGCGCCAGCTTCCCCGCCCTCTCCGCGGCCCGGCTGAGGGCAGCGCCTCCCGGCGGGCTCAGGGCTGCTGCTCCCTCGCCGTCCTGCACGCAGGCCTGGGGCTCGGGGCCGGGGGAGCGGACGCTGTGAGCGGCTGTGGGAAATGGTGTTTGATCAGGTGCCGGTGGGAAGCAGAGGGGCCCGCCTGCCCGCAGACACCGAGGCCCCAGCTCGCAGCAGCTGCACGTGAGGTCCCTGCGCTGTCCGCCCCGGCCTGAGCGCCCGCACGCCGCCCCCTCCGCAGCGGCTGACGCCTCCGGTGAGGGAGGGGCGGGTCCTGGGCGCCGTGAGGAGCCGAGTCTGGGAACCAGGCTGGCGTGTCCGGCCCGTGCACCCCCTGCCCACGCACTGGGACTTGGGGGGAACGTGGTGTTGGTTCTGATCAGCATCGGTTCCGATTGGGACGAAGTGGCCGTCGGGTGGGCACCGAGGCTGCTGGGGTGCGGACCTGGGACAGAACCAGCTGCCTGCCTGGGCGAGGGTCTCTATAAGGTGGGATCCGCACCCCCCCCCCCCCCCCCCGCTTGGCCCCGGCGTCAGCGCGGCTCTGAGTGGGTTTGGGCGCAGCCACCGCCCCCCTCCTCGCCCTCCCCTCCCCTCCCCTCCCCTCCCGGGTGCTCCGCTCGCCTGTGGCTAACCCCTCCCCCTTTGTCTTCCAGCTCAGCCCGCAGACCTCCTGAAGGTTCTAGATTTCCACACCTTGCCCGACGGCATAACCAAGACCACGGGCTTCTGCTCCACGCGGCGATCCTCCCGGGGCCCGGACGTGGCTTACAGAGTCACGAAGGATGCCCAGCTCAGCGCGCCCACCAAGCAGCTGTACCCCGGTGAGAGGCGCGGGGCGCGGGGTGCGGGGTGCGGGGTGCGGGGTGCGTGTATGTGAGCCCGTCCCCTCCCGCCTCGTTCAGGAGCGGCGAGGTCGCGCTCGGGATGCTGGGAAGCCCGGGAACGAGCCGGGTTTGATGTCCTGAAGGGCGGTGGCCTGGAGGACCTGCCCTCCAGCAGGTGTCCATCCTCCGTGATGCCAGGCCGGAGGGCATGGAGGGGGCTGCTCCTGGGCCTGGGCGAGGGGGGCGGCGTGGAGGGAAGCCTCAGGGTCATGGGAAAGGCAGCGCTTCCAGACAGAAGCTTAATGGGGGGCAGTGACCCCGAGAGATGCATGATCACACATCACACCTCCCAGCTGAGAGCCGGCTCCTAATGAGGATCGATGGCCGAGCACGGAGCCGACTGCTGATTCCTGCCCGGAGCGGACGGGGGCGGGGGGATGTTAGCTGCCGAGACCCTGTCCGAGCTGTCCTGGCATCGGCCACGGGTGGCAGAGGCCCCCCTCCCACCGCCCAGCGTCAGGAGCGGCTCAGGGCTCACCTGGGGGAGGGGCCGAGGGCCAGAGACCGTAACCTCCCGCCCCAGTGACCGCATCTCTGATCCCGGGCAGGAGGGCGGGGCCCGGGCTGAGGCGGCCGCCGTGGACGTGCCCTGTGATTGTGAGCAGCTGGGCCGCCTTCTCGTGGCTTGAACATGGCCTTGACCCAGAGTTGGGCTCTCTCTCTCTCTCTCTCTCTCTCTCTTTTTTTTTTTTTTTTAAATATATTTTATTGATTTTTTACAGAGAGGAAGGGAGAGAGATAGAGAGCTAGAAACGTCGATGAGAGAGAAACATCGACCAGCTGCCTCTTGCACACCCCCCACCGGGGATGTGCCCGCAACCAATGTACATGCCCCTGACCGGAATCGAACCCGGGACCTTTCAGTCCGCAGGCCGACGCTCTACCACTGAGCCAAACCGGCTTCGGCCACAGGCTCTCTTTTGACCAGTGACGGTCTCTGCGCGTCCCACGTCCCCGCTGGGTCCCCGAGGGCCGCACTCCTCAGGGGCTGCGTCTTCGCCTCCCGCGCCCTCCCCCCACCCTGCCTGCACCCCTACCCACGCCCCCTCTGGTCTGTCCGGGCGGCCGGCGCTTTGTAAGGAGCCATTTCTGGTTGATGAGGTCACAGGAGGCACGAGCCCCTTCGGGAGCCCCCCGTGGGGCGCCCAGTGGCCCCGGGTGTGGGGTGCAGCCTCGGGACTGTCTGACCCTCGGTGCAGACGAAGGTCACTGTCAGGCCCACTCGCCCTCCCGGGGAACTGCGGGGTCTGGTTTCCGTGCATCCAGAGAAGCCCGCCTCTGCCCCCTCCAACTCCGCCCCGCGTTAGGGGACATTGATTTCAGGGTCTGGAACGGCGGTGCCCCTGTGCCCGCCCTCGCCCTCTCCTCACCCTCGCCCTCGCCCTCGCCCTCGCCTGACCGCTCCACCCTGGTCCCAGGGGATGCGAGGTCACAGCAGGTGAAGTCTCAGGCCGCCTGGATGTCCCCTCCCCCCAGCCTGGCACCCTGCTCCCGTGACCAGAGCAGAGGCTAGCCGCCCGACTATGTGGCCGTTACACCAGCAGAGGGCGCCCCAGACAGCTTCCTGCAGGGCTGGCCATCGGCCATCTGGGTGACCTTGTCCTGCAGGCCCTAAGCCTGACCCACAGCCCTCGCACCACAGAGCGTGTCCCCTCCCCACGCAGTGGGCTGAGCAGTGTGCTGACCGGACGGTTCTGGCCGCTGGACCAGGCTCCCGGCAGAGCTGCAGGTGCACAAGGCGGCAGGAGAGTTGAGGGGCACCTGGCTGGAGGGACGGGGTGCACACGTGCGTGTGCGAGCGCATGTGTGTGCTTGTGTGCGTGCGGAGAGGTCTGGAGCGAGCGGGGCAGGCCCGCAGGGGACTGGCTTTGGTGGCCTCCGAGGGCCTGGCCGGCCGTGGGAGCCTCCCACCACGGACATGGCAGGTCCCTCCTTCCTTTGTTCCTGGGTTCGGTTCTTTGCAGTCTGGACGGAAGTCTTTTGGATTCTTTCCACCTTTTCTCTGTTTTGCGTGTCAACCAGGACATGGCAACAAGTGCAATTCTAGCCCACCCCACTACCGTCCCCCCTCGGTCCCCCGTAGGGCGCTGAACAACACGCCCTCTGCTAGGCCCAGCTCTGGGCACACAGAGGGCTCGAGGGGCCCTGAGACAGCACTGCCCCCAGACGCTCACATCCGGGGTCCCCCACATCCCAGGGTCCCCGCTAAGATGTCTACGCGGAAGTGTTACCGGGTGGGGGCGGGGCGGGCCGGCCGCAGGGAGCCCGCAGCGGGGAGGACCCCGTAGCCTTGCACTTGAACGGAGCCTCGAAGGGGCCGGGCGTGGCCATGTGGGGACAGGCGGGGCTGCAGGAACAGTGTGATCCAGGCGCGCCGTCCTCTGCGGCCGGGGTGCCAGGCCCCTGAGCGGGTTGGGGCGTGGGGGCTGGGCCCTCTGACCTCTGCCCTCTGCCCTCTGCCCCAGCGTCTGCGTTCCCCGAGGACTTCTCCATCCTCACCACGGTGAAGGCCAAGAAGGGCAGCCAGGCCTTCCTGGTGTCTGTGTACAACGAGCAGGGCATCCAGCAGCTCGGCCTGGAGATGGGCCGCTCCCCCGTCTTCCTGTACGAGGACCACACGGGGCGGCCGGGCCCCGAGGACTACCCCCTCTTCCGCGGCATCAACCTGTCCGACGGCAAGTGAGTGGGCGCCCTCGGCCCCCAGGCCCCCGGAGCGCCTGGCAGCCCCGGGCCCGCGGGCAGACGGGGCGCCCCGCAGGCTGTGTTACAGCAGCGGGCCGAGGGCCCCCGGGGAGCACCGGCGGGGAGCCCCGAGAGCTGGTCCCGGCCCTGCTCCCTGGGCCCCCGTCTTCCCCGGGCGCCGGGCGCCGGGCACACACCAGCCCTCCGTTCGGGAGGGACGTGGGGAGGTCGCGCGGCTGTGCCCCACGTGTCCCCCCGAGGATTCGGGGGCCCTGGCGGCACAGGTGCACCAGGTGTGGGACGGAACCACGAAACCCAGGCAGACCGTCCCAGGTTCTGTGGGCACACACCCAGGCCCGGCGGTGTGGCCGTGGCCTCCCTGGTGGCTGGCCCGGAGGACGCCACGTACAAGGAAGGCCTTCCGCCACTCCGGAAGTTCTGGCTGAGCGTGCGTGTGGTCCCAGGGCCACGGTTCCCCGTCCAGCTCCCTTCCCCAGAGCCTGCCCTCTGGTGGGGTTCAGGCGGCCCCCAGGGCTGTCCCGCCTGTGCCCCGGCCCGTGGCCACCGGCCAGCCCACGTGGGCTCCAGAGCCTGTGCTCGGGGCTTCCCCGTGAACTCTGGGCTCAGACGGTGACCCCCTGAGAGACGAGGAATGGGAGGCGTCTGGGGCGGAGGGCGTGTCCTGGGGGTGCATGGCGTGGCCGGGGTCCGAGCGCAGGGAGAGGGACTTCCTCCCAGTGTCCCCCCGTGTCCCTGTGACCTGCGCTGAGCCCCCGGCACTGGTGCCCGTGACCGCGTCCCCTCCACCCGCCGCTGTCCGCGCCCCTGCAGGTGGCACAGGATCGCGCTCAGCGTCCACAAGAAAAACGTGACCCTGCTCCTGGACTGCAAGAAGAAGGCCACCAAGTTCCTGGACCGCAGCGACCACCCCGTGGTGGACACCAACGGCATCATCGTGTTCGGCACCCGCATCCTGGACGAGGACGTGTTCGAGGTGAGCCGCGGCCCCAGGGGCGGCGCTGCTCCGAGGCGCTGCTGGCGGGGACGGCGGGCGTCCGCCGTGGATGGGCGTGGACGCGTCGGTGTCCGCCGTGGATGGGCGTGAACGCGTTTGCGTCCGCCGTGGATGGGCGTGGACGCATTGGTGTCTCCGTGGATGGGCGTGGACGCGTTGGTGTCCACCTTGGATGGGTGTGAGCGTATCGGTGTCCGCCATGGATGGGCATGGACGCGTTGGCGTCCGCTGTGGATGGGCGTGGATGCGTTGGTGTCCGCCATGGATGGTGTGGACACATCGGTGTCGCCGTGGATGGGTGTGGGCGTGTCGGTGTCTGCCGTGGCCGTGGCTTCTGCGGCTCTGAAGCCCCTGCCGCCGTCCCGATGAGCGTGTAGCTCGTGGGGGTGCAGAGGTCCCGTGAGGACCGTGGAGGCTGCCCTCGTCCAGGGGGTCCTGTACCGGGTCCGCCAGGGACCAGCGTGGAGGGGAGACTGCCTGTCACCCCGCGGCCGGCCTGGGACGGGGCAGCCGCTGTGGGTGGACGTGGGGTAGAGCTCGGCCTGCGTGGGGCTTTGGGAAAGTGTGCGGCCAGGGCTCTGAGCCAGCGGTGTCCCGGGCACCGAGAGGTGAGGGTTGCCCTCCCAGGAGGGCACGCTGACCAGTGTTAGGGCTGTCCTTGGCACCCACAGCGTCGGGTGGGGGAGGCGTGGACACCCAGGAAGGGGTCCGAGCAGCCACCCCTGGTGGAGACAGGGTCAGCGGAGTGGCAGGGGGGCTGGCGCCTGGACCCCGCTGGCAGTGCCCACTTTTGCAATTACAGAGACACACCCTCGGGGCGCGCTGTGGCGGCTGGCGTCCTGCACAGACGGGCGGAGCGGGTGCTGGCGCAGACCTGCTGGGGAGGAGCTGGGGAAGAGGTGTGGACCTCAGGGCTCTCCTCAATGACCAGGGACCAGGAAGGCCGCCCACGCGGGCCTGGAGCTGGGTCACTGCTGCCTCAGCCTCTTTCCGAGTGGAGTCCGGGGGCGGGGGGGCGGGGGGGTAGGAGGGTTCGGGTTGGGCCAGCCTGTAACGGCCAGGCCTGTGTGTGACTGTGCCTTTAACTGAGAGCCAGGAAACAGCTTTATCGAGTGTTTAAACGTTCGGTCCTGGAGCAGACACCGCTCCCCGGAGCCAGGAGAGCGTTTTCCCATGAGCACAGGCAGGAAGGACCTGCTGTGACGGCGGCCGCCGAGGCCGGGCGGGCGGGCCCGTCTGTGAGCGGGGACAGTCACGGGCCCCCGGGTGTTGGGGGGGTGAGGAGCCAGTGCAGGGGCCTCCCCAGGCAGCCAGCCGCCCGCTCGCTGGGGCTGCTTCCCGAGGGGCCGGGGGCTGAGACCTGAGGTCAGGAGCTCGGGCGTGCTCACCCATGTCCGTGAGGCTCAGCACGGGGGCCGCACGTGCTGGTGAATGAGTGAAAGAATGAGCAGCCAAGATGGCGGCCTTTGTGTGTGTGTGGGGGGCGGGGGAGGGGGCTGGTGAGTCTTTGTCAGGTGATGGTGATGGTGATGGTGATGGTGATGGTGATGGTGATGGTGATGGTGATGGTGATGGTGATGGTGGTGGTGGTTACTCTGAGTGCCCAGGCCTCCGAGTGCCTGGCTGGGCCGGGCATCCCGCTGTCCAGAGCGGCACAGTGGCGGGCACGGGGCTGAGACCCGTTGTAAGGCCTGGTGGGCTTTTGAGGAGGAGGCCCTGACGCTGGCCCTGCAGCCCGCCCCGGGGTGTGGGGACGCAGCGCCCCTCCCAGCTCACTAAGCTGGCCCTTCAGTCCCTCCAGCCACTCAGGGTCCCTTGAGGCTGGGACGTGGCCATCCCCCCACCCATCCCTGCACCCTGGGCCCCGGTCCGCACGGAGCCTCTCGTGTGGCACCAGCGCAGGTGTGAGTAGCCAGGCCCAGGCCCTGGGGGCGGCAGCTGGAGGGCAGGGGAGAGGGGGCGGGGCTGGGGGGGCGGGAGAGAGGGGACAGGGCTGGGGGGCAGGAGAGAGGGGGCGGGGCTGGGGGGGCGGGAGAGAGAGGACGGGGCTGGGGGGCAGGAGAGAGGGGACGGGCTGGGGGTGCAGGAGAGAGGGGGCAAGGCTGGGGGGGCAGGAGAGGGGACGGGGCTGGGGGGCAGGAGAGAGGGGACGGGCTGGGGGGGCAGGAGAGAGGGGGCGGGGCTGGGGGGCAGGAGAGAGGGGGCGGGGCTGGGGGGCAGGAGAGAAGGGGCGGGGCTGAGGGGGGCAGGAGAGAGGGGGCGGGGCTGGGGGGGCAGGAGAGAGGTGATGGGGCACAGGCAGTTCCTCCTTTGACCTCACGTTCACGGTGTCAGACTGGTCCTGACCCTGCGCCCCCACAGCCCGTGGACAGAATGGCCTGCGCTGGCTGGAGCCCGCGTTCCTGGCGACTCACCGTCAGGACATCCGGCCGCCGTCAGGGCGAGGAGCTCGGCCGCACGGGCCGGGCAGGGATCGCGGCCAGTCACGCGTGAAGGCCGTGCGGCCCCGGCTCTCCGTCCCCGCAGCCCCCCCCCCCCGGCGTGCGCCCCCTTCCCTCCCCCACCCCATCCTGGGAGACTCTCAGCTTCCCTTGGAGGCGATGGAGCCCAGTGCTGGTCTCGAGCCCGGGCTGCCCGCCGCCCCCGCTGTCCCCGGTCCCTGCACACGTGCGGCCGTGGCCGCAGGCTGGCCGGCCCCTCTCTCTCCGCCGCCTCCATCGGGAGCTGCGTCTGTGTTCCCTCCTGAGTGGGAAGCCCTGCAGTGAAAATCGGCTGTGAAATCGCAGGAAAGCCGCGCGGGGCCCGGCCTGCCGGGCGGAGGTCGGGGCCGGGAGTCACTGGGAGGGGAGCGCAGAGCCGGGGTGCAGAGAGGGGCCCGGAGGGCGGCACGGACAGCCAGGCTGGGAGGGCGGGGTCGGCCGGGCTGGGGCAAACGGACGTCCATGCTCTGTGCCCACGGCCCCCGTGGCAGAGCTCCCTGCGTGGCTCTGTGCCCGCCCCCGCCCGCTCTCAGCAGATCATGGGTGCGGCCTCAGGGTCGGAAAAGGCAGAGCCGATCCCTCAGCAAAATGCTCCGGAGCAGCGTGGCCGAGGACGCATGCATCCTGGGGTCCGGCAGCTGGTGCCCCCAGAGACAGGCGCGGTGGCTGCCCTGGCATCGAGGCTGGCAGCAGGGCGGGGTGGCATCACGAGCCGGGCAGGCTGGCTCAAGCTTCTGGGGCTCAGCCGCGCCTACTGACCTGGCCAGGAAGGGAGTGTGTGTGAAAGGAGAAGCTGGCGTGGTCAGAGCGAGGGGCTGGGCACGGCGGGCACCACGGGTGGGCATGAGAGCTGGGCACGGCCTGGGGGTCAGAGGTAGGATCAGGCCGGCGCTCCTGAGGCTGGCGCCCGGGCACGGGGACGCCGTGGTGGGCGGGGCGTTGCAGGCCCCTCGCCAGGCAGCGGCTCCCTCGAGGGCCGCCGAGGGCTGCCATCTGTGCCGCCGCCCGAGCCCTGGCCTCCGGTGACTGCGGAGAGAGCACCGTTCCGTGGCAGGCGGGTGTTTTATTTGGGTTGGAAGGAATCTGAACTAGAAGTCCTGATGCTTCATAAAACGTGTGGTTTTGATTCACTGTTCCTTTCGCCAGTTCTCCTCTGCTGAGAGTTTACACTGTGAGCCAGAACTGGACATCTGGCGGGAGGGGAGGGAGGGAGGGGAGAGAGGGGAGGGGAGGGGAGGGAGGGAGGGGAGGGAGGGAGGAGAGGGGAGGGGAGGGGAGGAGAGGGGAGGGAGGGAAGGGAGGGGAGGGGAGGGGAGGAAGGGGAGGGGAGGGGAGGGCTGGGCCTCGCACCCCGGGATCGGGTGCTGAGGGGCCCAGTCTGACTCTAGGACGTGACTCCGTTCTGCCATGAGTCGCCCACGGCACCCGGCCCGGGCCGTGTGGGCAGCCGGGAGGGTGCAGACCCGTGAGAGCGGTGCACCCCGGCGCCTGGCCCCACCGCAGGGCCGCCCGGGACCAGGCTGAGTGACCGCGTGGAGGCCGCTCCGGTCCTCCTGGGCGCTCGGCCTTCCTGGCACAGAGCAGGGCGCGCACACCTTCGCCACGGAGGGGCGGGAGGGCCGGCGCCTGGCTGGGCCTGTGGTCTGACGGGCAGGATGCCTCCCTCCTCGGGCCGAGCTCATGGCACTGCCCTCTCGGCTGTGGCTGGACCCAGCGGAGCGGGAGGGGGGCACAGGCGCGGGAGCCGCCGAGCCTCCGGCCAGAGAGGGCCTCAGGGAAGGCCTCTGGGTGCACGGTCTGGGTTGCATCTGCCCTCGTCCACGGGCACGACGGAAGGCTGAGGTGTCAGGGGGAGCGGGGGCCGCCAGGCAGTGCGGCTCTGGGCATGGCTGTGCCCCTGTGTGTGATGCAGCGACTAGCATTTGGGAAATGCTCAGGATTGCTACTGAAGGGGGGAGGGAGGGATAGATGGATGGATGGTGGATGGATGGATGGATGGATGGTGGATGGATGGATGGATGGATGGTGGATGGTGGATGGATGGATGGTGGATGGATGGATGGTGGATGGATGGATGGTGGATGGTGGATGGTGGATGATGGATGATGGATGGTGGATGATGGATGGATGGATGGTAGATGGATGGATGGATGGATGGTGGATGGATGGATGGTGGATGGTGGATGGTGGATGGTGGATGGTGGATGGTGGATGGATGGATGGTGGATGGTGGATGGTGGATGATGGATGGATGGTGGATGTATAGATGGTGGAGGGATGATGGATGGTGGATGGTGGATGGGTGATGGATGGATGATGAATGGTGGATAGATGATGGGTAGTGGGTGGTGGATGGATGATGGATGGTGGATGGTGGATGGATGGATAGTGGGTGATGGATGCATGATGGGTGGATGATGGATGATGGATGGATGGTGGATGGTGGATGGACGGATAGTGGATGATGGATGGATGATGGATGGATGATGGATGATGGATGGATGGTGGATGGTGGATGGTGGATGGTGGGTGATGGGTGGATGATGGGTGGTGGGTGGATATTGGGTGTGTTGGCTTCTTGGGTGGATGGGCGGATAACGATGGACAGGTGGGCAGACAGCCTGGCGGGCGGTTGGGAGGCAGCAGCTTCTAGAGGAGGCTGGGAGGACGGGCTGGGTCCCCGCGGGGCCCCTGAGCCGCGCGTTCAGGGCTCCTGTCCTTTTCCAGGGCGACATCCAGCAGCTGCTCTTCGTCTCGGACCACCGGGCGGCGTATGATTACTGCGAGCACTACAGCCCCGACTGCGACACCGCCGTCCCCGACACCCCCCAGTCCCAGGACCCCAACCCGGACGAATACGTGAGTCAGCAGCGGGGCTGGGGGGGGGGCAGGGCCGGGCGGGGGGCAGTGGGCAGGGCGGGGGGGTCTGTGGCCCGGGCAGAGGGTCTGTGGCCTGGGCCGGGCAGGGGTCTGTGGCCCAGGCAGGAAGTCTGTGGCCCGGGCAGGGGGGGTCTGTGGCCCAGGCAGGGGTCTGTGGCCCGGGCAGGAGGTCTGTGGCCCGGGCAGGGGGCTGGTCTGTGGTTCGGGCTGAGGGTCTGAGCAGAGGTGCTGCAGGTGCCCCCGGCGGAGTCTGCGGGCGCTGAGGCCGCTCATTGTGAATGACGGCCCTCGGACCCCAGTGGGGCCGCGCCTGGGAGTAGCCTGGTCCCCGGCCTCAGGAGCGTGTTCTGAGCTCCGTCCCCTCCTGTGACCTCTGGTCTGGAGTCTGGCTTTCACTCCTCTGCCTCTCGGCCGGCAGCGCCTGGCTAACGTTTCTGGCAGTTCCTCCCGGCTGCAGCGAGAATCCTGCCCTGCTAGCTCCACGCCCTTCTCTTTACTATCACCCACCCCGCTGTCCGCCTCCCCCGCCCCTCTGTCCCACAGACCAGGCGTGGCCCGGAGGCTGCAGGTGCCCAGCCCCGTCTTACCCTCCCCCACAGCTGGGCGGTGCTCCCAGCGAGCCCAGCGGCCGGCCTCCTGGTCCGGGCCGGGCACACGTCCAGGGGCGGGGCCCCCGCGGTGGCCGGTGGCCGGTGGCCGGAGGCCTCCCTCCCGGGACGGAGCCGGGGTCCGGCCCGGGACCTCTCGGGGCCGGCTCAGCTGCGGTGGCTGGAGGGGGCGGTGCCGGCGGGGGGCACAGCGCTGGAGCCCACGCCTCCCGCCGCGCCCGGCGTGGAGCGCAGGGTCTGGTCCTCACGAGCTGTCTCCTCCCAGTACCCGGACGGCGATGGGGACAGCGCGCCCTACTACTACGAGTACCCCTACTACGAGGACACCGACGGCCCCAGCCAGGCGCCCGCCGCCACGGCGCCCGCGGAGGCCGCCAAGGAGACCACGGAGGTGGCCGAGGTGCGGCCGGGCAGGGGGCGGCGCGGGGGGGGGGGGGGGAGGGGGGAAGCTGTGGAGTGACTGGGCCGCCCAGGAGGCGGGGGTGGAGGTGCGGCCCCCTGGGATGCGGGCTGGGAGAGGGTGTCGGTGGTGATGTGTGACCTCAGGGGCTGAGGGGTGAGGGGGCGCCGTCCCTCCCCAAGGTGCTGGGAGACGGGCTCATCGGTCTCTCACTTTTTAAAGTAAATCCTCCCCCAAGGGTATTTCCCGATGATTTTTAGAGAGAGCGCAAGAGGGAGGGAGAGACAGAGAGAAACACTGATGTACGAGACACACATCGATGGGTTGCCTCCTGCACGCCCCCGCCTGGGGCTGGGGATCGGGCCTGCACCCAAGGTACATGCCCTTGACCGGGAATCGAACCCGAGACCCTTTGGTCCTCAGTCTGGCGCTCCATCCACCGAGCCACACCAGCCAGGCCACACACCAGCCCTCTCACCCCTAAGACAAGTGTCTGGGATACAGCTCACCCTTCCCACGTGTGGGCTCCGTTCCCAGCATCCCCCTGGCTGGCTGCTTCCTCCCGGGCCCGGGCGGCCCGGCACCCAGAGCCCACGGGGTCCTGGCTGAAGGGGCGGAGGAACCCCAAAGCCCAGCCCTGCCCCCCCGCCCCCCAGGAGCTGACTCTGCCCCCCACGGGGGCCCCGGCCGTGCCCGACGCCAGCGAGGGGGCCGGGAAGGAGGGCCTGGACCCGCCGGACTATGACTACGTGCCCAGCGAGGACTACTACACGCCGGCCCCGTACGAGGACGGCTACGGCGAGGGCCTGGGCGCCGAGGTGCTCCCCGGCGCGGCCGGCGCCGCCAACGCCTCCAACGTACGGCCTCTCCCGCGGGCTCGGCGGGCGGGTCCTCGGCTCGGCCTCTCCCTGCGGACACCGGGCGGGTGCGGGGGGATCGCGGGCCGTCGCCCAGCGGCGCCCCGTGTGTCACTGGCTCTTTTGCAAGCGGAGGGTGTGCGCCCCGCCCGAGGCGCCCGGTGCAGGCGGAGGGGGGCAAGGAGGGCGCTGCAGACCCCCGTGTCCGGGCTGTGGCCGGGGCGGTCCGGCTGGACAGGGGCTGGAGCCGGGGACGTGGACACCACGTGAGGTGGCTGCTCCTGGGCCGTGGCCAGGGGGACGGATCTGTGTCCTCAGTCACCCGTGGCCCCCGGCGCCGCCTCCGGGGCTGTTGCCCAGCTTTTGGGGGGAGGGACCAGCCCAGCGCCCCCCTCATAGAAACTTAACCCTTTGTGTGCTGCGAGCGGCCATGTTCTCGGCGCCCACGGAGTGGACACGCTGTCCTCCTGGCGTGGGGTTAGGGTCATGTTATCCCGCGACCCTGAGGCCCGGGGCGGCGCCCCGAGGGACCGCTTCCCCAGGCACAGCCGAGGGCCGGGGCGCGGTGAGAGTGGGGGGGGCGCAGAGAGACCCTGGCCCCCGGCAGCTGCCCTCTCTGCGCCCCTGACGCCGCCTCTGCCCCCAGCCGGCCCCGCCCCCGGGGGAGGGGAAGGAGGACCTGGACGCGGACTTCACGGAGGAGACCATCAAGAACCTGGACGAGAACGAGAGCTACTACGACCCCTACTACGACCCCACCGTGTCCCCGTCCGAGATCGGGCCGGGCATGCCCGCCAACCAGGACACCATCTTCGGGGGGGTGAGCGGCAGCCTTCCCGGCCTCCGGGGCGGGACGGGGCGGGGGCAGCGTGGTCACGGAGTCACCGTCCCCTCCGCCCTCCTGTCCCCTCCTCTCTCCGTCTGCCCTTCTCACCCCAGATCGACGGGCCGCGGGGCGAGAAAGGGCAAAAGGGAGAGCCTGCCATCATCGAACCCGTAAGCACATGTTCTCCTCCTGGTCTCTGGTCCGGGGACCAGGGTCCGGGGGGCCAGGGTCTGGAGGGCCAGGGTCCGGGGGGCCAGGGTCCGGCGGGGATAAGGGTCCGGGAGGCCAGGGTCTGGGGGAGTCAGGGTCGGGGGGGCCAGGGTCCGGGGGGATCAGGGTCCGGGGGGGGGGGCCAGGGTCCCTGAGGGATCAGGGTCTGGGGGGGCCAGGGTCTGGGGGATCAGGGTCTGGGGTGGCCAGGGTCCCTGAGGGATCAGGGTCTGGGGGAGTCAGGGTCTGGGGGATCAGGGTCTGGGGGGGCCAGGGTCCCTGAGGGATAGGGTCTGGGGGGGCCAGGGTCTGGGGGATCAGGGTCTGGGGGGGCCAGGGTCCCTGAGGGATCAGGGTCTGGGGGATCAGGGTCTGGGGGAGTCAGGGTCTGGGGGAATCAGGGTCCGGGGGGGGCCAGGGTCCCTGAGGGATCAGGGTCTGGGGGGGCCAGGGTCCATGGGGGATCAGGGTCTGGAGGAGTCAGGGTCCGGGGGGGCCAGGGTCTGAGGGGATCAGGGTCCATGGGGGCCAGGGTCCGGGGGGCCAGGGTCCGGGGGGCCAGGGTCTGTGGGGGCCATGGTCGGGGGGGATCAGGGTCTGGGGGATCAGGGTCTGGGGGATCAGGGTCCGTGGGGGATCAGGGTCCGGGGGACCAAGGTCCGGGAGGCCAGGGTCCGGGGAGCCAGGGTCCGGGGGGCCTGAGGGCCGGCTCCGGTCTCAGCGCCCCGTCCTCTCTTCCAGGGCATGCTCTTGGAGGGGCCCCCAGGCCCCGAAGGCCCCGCGGTGAGTGTCCCGTTTGTTCCCATGAGGAGCGGGAGGGGGAGGCGGCCACCGGGACGGGGAGAAGGCTCGCTGCCTCGCGCCCCCTCGGGCTGGCCGTGGGAGCGGGGCTGCGTGGCGCCTCTGAGCTCCGCTCTGAATTTATTTCCGATTCCAGGGCCTCCCAGGACCTCCCGGGACCATGGGCCCCACCGGCCAAGTGGGCGACCCTGGAGAACGGGTAAGGCCTCCTGGGCTCCGGCCCGTGTCCCCGCGCTGGGACGGGCGTTGCCACGGCGACTTCCTCCTCCGAGTGCCCGGGTCCCACAGCCTCTCACGCCACCCGCTTCCTGGGCCGTCTCCTCGGGGTGGGGGGGTGGCCCGGCCCGGCTGGGGCAGGCGGCCCCGCGCCAGTAAGGCCCAGCGCGCTGTTGCCCCCCCCCCCCCCCCCCCCGAGGCCGCCAGGGCGTCTGGACGCGGCGAGGGCCGGCGCCCTCATCCTGGGACCGCGACCCAACAGCTCCGGACCGAGAGCTCAGGGAACCCTGGCCTCGATCCCTCTGACCCCTTCTTTCCTGGGAATCGGGGGGGGGGGGGGGGCTTGCTCTGGAGCAGAGGGGTGCTTCCGGGGTCACCCTGCCTGGGGTCCCTGCAGGAGGGATGAGGTCTGGACCCTGGAGGTGGCGGTTCCATTCTGACACCTAGTGGGGCTTCTTGGTACTGCAGCGTGGGGTACCGGCTTAGCTTGGCTGTTTGTTCCTTTCACGTTGGGTTCCGTGGGGACTATGAGCAGCCGTGTGGCAGCTGGTTGAGCCGGGGGAGAGGCGTGTGTGCCCAATGGGCATCCCCCCAGGACCCGGCACGGCCGGGAGCAGCCGGTGCGGGGTGGCAGGTGCCTGAGGCCTGCCCGGAAGCTGCCCCAAAGCTGCCCGGCAGGGAGGCCCGGGTTTGCCTGTCAGGCCCCGGGCGATTGGCCGGATGCCTGCGGTGGAGCCGCTGAGCGCTGGGTCAGCAGCTGGGTCAGGAGGAGGCTCCCTGGCTCTCTATGGCCGTGACCTCAATGTCCCGCTGGGTGGGGCCTTGAGCAGGACTCTGTGTGTGTGTGTGTGTGTTTGTGTGTATCTGTTTGTGGGTGCACATGTGTGTAATATGTGTATTTGTGTGCGTGCATGTGCATAAATCTGTCTGTGTGGACACGTGTGTGTGTGTGTGTGTGTGTGTGTGTGTGTGTGTGTGGCTGGTGGCTCTGGGACCCGGAGTAGGCAGCTCATTCTCTGTGGCAGGGCCTCAGCTGTCCTATAGGCTGCCTGGCCCCGTGGTTCCAGCTTGCTAGCATCCTGCTCCCGCACCCCCCCCCCCATCGGCATCCTGGTTCCAGACAAATGGGGAGCCCCTGCTCAGACATGGGCTGCTCTCCCGCCTCCTGGCCCGAATGCTGCCGTGGCTGCCTGTCTGCCCAGCTCGCTCCAAAGGTCCACGGGAGACGTGGCACCGGTCCCCACAGCGGTCCGCAGCTGGACTCAGGGGCGTGGCCAACCCACGGGGCACAGCAGATGCTGCTTCTCTGAGATGTGGGAGGGGAGCATGCTCTGTGCATGGTGCCGGGCATGGCTGAGCTCTCAACCTCTGCTGCTCCCCGTGTCTGAGCAGGGCTCCCCGTGTCTGTCGGAGCAGGTGCTCCCCGTGTCTGAGCAGGTGCTCCCGTGTCTGAGCAGGTGCTCCCCGTGTCTGAGCAGGGGCTTCCCGTGTCTGTCTGAGCAGGTGCTCCCGTGTCTGTCGGAGCAGGTGCTCCCGTGTCTGTCTGAGCAGGGGCTTCCTGTGTCTGTCTGAGCAGGTGCTCCCCGTGTCTGAGCAGGTGCTCCCCGTGTCTGAGCAGGGGCTCCCGTGTCTGTCGGAGCAGGGGCTCCCGTGTCTGTTGGAGCAGGTGCTCCCGTGTCTGTTGGAGCAGGGGCTCCCCGTGTCTGTCTGAGCAGGGGCTCCCCGTGTCTGAGCAGGTGCTCCCGTGTCTGTCGGAGCAGGTGCTCCCGTGTGTGTCTGAGCAGGTGCTCCCCGTATGTGTCTGAGCAGGGGCTCCCCGTGTCTGTTGGAGCAGGGGCTCCCCGTGTCGGAGCAGGTGGCCGGGTTGACCCTTCCCTCTGGCAGCCCCACACAGTCGGGCGGATGGCCCTCAGTGACAGCCCAGAGGAGTCGCTCTGAGCAGCAGCTTGCTCTGCCTCCGTCCGGTTTGGGGGGACCTGGAAGGGGTGCCTCAGGGTGGACGCCCCGATGCTCCATCCCTGACCTCCTGGGCTTCGCCTCTCTGGACCCGCCCGGTGCTCCTCCTTCCTGCCCCTCCCCCCGGGAGCACTTCCCACCCCACCTGGCTCTGGAATGTTCCAGCCTCGGGCCTTTCACTGCCCTGTGCTGGCCCATGTGTTTCCAGCTGGCCGTGGCCCCCCCCAGGCCAGCTCCGTCCCACTGCGCCCTGACCACCCTGCCCCCTCTGTCCACAGGGCCCCCCTGGGCGCCCAGGCCTGCCGGGGGCTGACGGGCTGCCCGGCCCCCCCGGGACCATGCTCATGCTGCCCGTGAGTACCCGGCTTGTGTGGGGGTCGATGGGCGTGGCCGATGGGAGGGCGTGGCCGATGGGGAGTGGGCCCCGGGGGACAATCTGGCCACAGACTCGCCCCAACCAGGGCACCGTGTCCGAGAGGCCGGCTCCTGGCGGGGGGCTAGGGGCCTTCGCAGAGGAGTGGACCCCGGGGCGCCCGGGCTGCCCCTCGGCGGGCGTGGAGTCAGGCCCCTGGAGGAGAGCTGAGCCTCTGCTGGTGACAAACACCCCGAGTGGCGTGCTCGCCAGCGGGTCCCGGGAGCTCGCCCTGCCGTGACCTTGTGGGCGGAGGTCATGGGGCGTCTCCCCGGGGAGCCCAGGCCTCGGGGAAGAGCATGTGGCCGCTCGGCGTGCACGGAGGGGGGTAGCAGCCGCCGTCAGACTGCGAGGAGCGCCGTCCCCCGGCCCGGGGCCCAGTGTGGCGCCCGAGGGCAGCTGGTGACCCGTCTCCCCGCAGTTCCGCTTTGGAGGCAGCGGCGATGCCGGGTCCAAAGGCCCCATGGTCTCCGCCCAGGAGTCCCAGGCCCAAGCCATCCTGCAGCAGGCGCGGGTGAGTGGGGGCCGGGGTGGGCGCGGGGGAGTGGGGGCCGGGGTGGGGGTGGGTGAGTGGGGGCCGGGGTGGGCGCGGGGGAGTGGGGGCCTGGGGGTGGGGGTGGGGGAGTGGGGGCCGGGGTGGGCGCGGGGGAGTGGGGGCCTGGGGGTGGGGGTGGGGGAGTGGGGGCCTGGGGGTGGGGGTGGGGGAGTGGGGGCCGGGGGTGGGGGTGGGTGAGTGGGGGCCGGGGTGGGCGCGGGGGAGTGGGGGCCTGGGGGTGGGGGTGGGGGAGTGGGGGCCGGGGTGGGCGCGGGGGAGTGGGGGCCTGGGGGTGGGTGCGGGTGAGGGGAGGCCTGGGGGTGGGGTGTGGGGGAGTGGGGGGTTCCGGGGGGGGTGCGGGTGAGGGGGGTCCTGAGTGGGTGGCACGGGGGCACAGAGCCTCTTCCCGCAGGACACGGCTCCTTTGGGCAGGGGTGGGGGTGGGCGCAGTCCGCACGGGGCGGGCAGGCTGTCTGTGGGGCGGGCGGGGCGGGGTGGACACCCCCCGTGTCTGCTGGTGGCGGCTCCCCAGCTGCTGCTCTGGACTGAGCTCCCTCAGAGGCTCTCCGGCCACCGGAGGGCGCCAGACGCCTGAGAATAAAGCGCTGCTCGGCCCGCGCACGCGTGTAGGGCGCACGGCCACGCCGGGCGGGGGGGGGGGGGGGAGCCGGGAGGTCAGGGCGAGCTCTGAGCACCCACGGAGGAGCGCCCTCCCCAGAGGGGAGGCACCACCTGGTCCACCCCTCGTCTGTTCCCGTCCCGTCTCTGGCTGCGTGGGAGCCCAGAGGGGCCCAAAGGTGGCTGTGGGCTGCCTCCGGCCGCCTCTCAGCGAGCCACCTCTGCCCCAGCGGTTCCGGCCCCAGCCTCTCCTGCCCCGGCTTCCTTGCCCCGGCCTCCTCTGCCTCGGTCTCCCCTGCCCCGGCCTCCCTGCCCCAGCCTCTCCTGCCCCGGCCTCTCCTGCCCCGGCCTCTCCTGCCCCGGCCTCCCTGCTCCGGTCTCCCCTGCCCCAGCCTCCCCTGCCCCGGCCTCCCTGCCCCGGCCTCTCCTGCCCCAGTCTCTCCTGCCCCGGCTTCCTTGCCCCGGCCTCCCCTGCCCCGGCCTCCCCTGCCCCAGCCTCACTGCCCCATCGGCTCGGCCCCTGGTCCTGGCGACCTCTCACCGCTCGGCCGGCCCCGTTTTCTCTTGCAGCTGGCGTTGAGGGGCCCAGCCGGCCCCATGGGTCTGACCGGGAGGCCCGGCCCCGTGGTAAGTCCCCGCGGGGAGCGGGCTCTGGCTGGTGGGAGCAGCCCTGGTGGCGGGGATGGCGTGGGTCTGGCACCGGCTGCGGCTCTGCCCGGCTCTGGGCCCTCCTTTCGGGGCCAGCTGGGTGCCGTGTGTGGGCCCGGGGCCTGCAGAGGGGACCCCGGGGCTGCACGGAGGTGTAAGCGCTCCGTGACCCCATTGCCATTCCGGGGAGAGGGATGTGAGTGCTCCCCCCCCGCCCCTCCCCCTGCTCCCCCCTTACACTCAGCGCCTCCCGTGGGCGTGGCTCGGGTGCCCTCTGCGTCCTGCCTGGCTGCGGGCCCAGGGATGCCCGCACACGGCCTGAGCCACAGACTGCCCCCCCGGCCCCCATGGTCAAGTTCACCCGAAGGTCACCGTGGCTCTGCGGCTCTGGTCCCCCACTGTCCCGTTTCCACGGAAACTAGGAAGAGACCCAAACCATAAGCCCTTGCCGGTCCCAGGCGGGCAGGGCTGGGTCTCCGCCCCCACAGGGATCCCTGTCCACGGGGGACCCCAACCCCGCCCCCCGCAGCCGTTACCCCTGCACGTTCCCTAACCACGTGTCCCCACAGGGCCCCCCCGGGAGCGGAGGCCTGAAGGGCGAGCCGGGCGACATGGGCCCGCAGGTGCGTGGGCCCCGGCTGGGCTCTCTGAGGGGCGACTCGGGGGGGCGGCTGTGACTCGGGGTGCGGGGGGGACGTCCGTGGCATTGTGGCGTGGTGGGAAGCTGGAGGGACCGGAAGGACGGGTGACCGGCGGGCGGCGGCGGGCGCTCCCCTGCCCGCCCTCCCTCTGCGGCGGGTCCCTCAGGGTGGGTGCAGCTCGGGGGACAAGCCACAGGGACGAGGGTCTGCTTTTGTCTCTGAGACACCTGGACAGGAACTGACCTCTGCCCTCTGACCTCGGACAGGGCCCCCGAGGGGTGCAGGGCCCGCCCGGCCCGACCGGAAAGCCTGGACGAAGGGTGAGTGTTTCCTGGCCCCTGACCAGCTGGGCACCGACAGGGCGGGTCCGAGCCTGGGCCTCCACGCCCTCCGAGCGGGCGGGGCCGGAGAGCCGAGGGCCGCCTCCCGTGTCCCAGGCGTGGCCGTCCCCTGCCGGGCCCCGTCCCGGGCGAGCCGAGCCCATGGTGCCTCCCCCAGGACTGGCCGGCCTCGGCCTCCCGGCCTCCCCGGCCTCCCGGCCTCCGGCCTGAGCGTGCGCATTGAGTTTAACAAACACGTTCAAAAATGTGTTTTGGTTGAAGTGAGAGAGGAAGGGAGAGGGCGGGAGAGAAACATCGAGGATGAGGGAGAATCATGGACCGGCTGCCTCCGCACGCCCCCACGGGGGGTCCACGGGCCTGTGCCCGACCGGGAATGGCGCTGGGACCTCAGGTTCACAGGCCGATGCTCCGTCCGAGCCGCGTGGCCGGGCCTGAGCACAGGCTTTAGCCTGAACTCTGAGCGGCGAGGAGCTGCGCGGGACGGCTGTCAGGGCCCTCGCTCCCTGCCCCCGTGCCCCCTCCCCGCCCTGCTCCCCGAGTCCGGCTGGCTGCCCCCAGGCGGACCTGGCCCTGGGGTCCCCCCCCCCCAAGAGGTCTTGCCTGCCGCCTCCTGCCATCGCCTCCCAGCACAGGGGGCACGTGGCGTCGCCCGGCTGGCCGCCCGGGGGCCGAGGCCGGGGAGCAGAGCCGGGAGGGCCCCAGCCCGGACTTGGGGTCTGGCCGTCGGGCTGGCACTGTCCTCGGCTCCACAGGGAGCCGCTCGGGGCTGACGCTTCGCCCTGTGTTCCAGGGCCGGGCTGGCAGTGACGGCGCGAGAGGGATGCCTGGCCAGACCGGCCCCAAGGTAGGCGCCACGCACGGCCCGTGTCCTGGCCTCGGCATCGGTGTCCTGTGCCGACGGTGGCTGCACGCCGGTGACAATGGCGGACCTGGTTGTGGGACAGCAGCAATGCTCAGAGGGGGGGTGCTGTGAGGGTTCCACCGGCCCCGGGTCAGTCGGTCCGTGGCCCCGGGGCTGGCGGTGAGTTTCGTGAGCACGTGGTCCGTGGGTGGGGGCAGACCTGTCCCTCTGTGTGGGGTGAGCGGTGGGTGGCCCTGGGACGGGAGGGGGAGAGCTGGGGGTACGGGCCCAGGCCCAGGGCACACGGGGTCCCGTCGGCGTGGCCTGAGCAGCCTGTCCTCCCCAGGGTGACCGCGGCTTCGACGGGCTGGCGGGGCTGCCCGGGGAGAAGGGCCACCGGGTGAGTGCGGGGCGGGGGCGGGGGCGGGGGCGGGGAGGAGGCCGGGGCGGGGGCAGGGAGCACCCAGCCCGAGGTCCTGGCGGTCTGTGGGGGGCAGGCCATGTCTCGGAGGCCCTTCCCGCGGCCTCAGGGCCCCTCGATTCCAATGTGGCCGCTGGAGGCACCCCCCGGGGGCCGTGGGTGTCAGGCTGTGCTGGTGGAGGTGCCAGGAGGGCGGCCATCACGGAGGGCCAGCGGGGGGCGCAGGCTGGGGCTCGGTGGGTGTCTGGGGCGGGCACACCTGTGGCCCCTGGGCCGGGTCTAGCACAGCTGCCCCAGGACAGGGTTCCGGGGTCAGTCTCTGCGGGGGAGCCGGCCAGGCCTCACCATCTCCTGCAGAGACCCCCCTCCCCTGGGCTCCCTGAGGGAGAGAAAGCCACGGGGGTGTGGGCCAGGCTTGCGTGGCCCGCTCCGGGCGCTCACCTGGCTCTGGTTTGCTCCCAGGGTGACCCTGGTCCCTCGGGCCCCCCGGGACCCCCCGGAGAAGACGGAGACCGGGTACGTACCCGGCCTCGCCCCCTGCCCTCTCCTCCGGGCTTGGTGGGGAGTGAGGTGGCACCCGGTCGGTGGAGGGACATGGTGTGGAGAGTGGGGGGCAGGTGGGACCGTGGGGGAGCTGGGGGGCGGGGCGCCCGGAGCCCAGACAAAAGCTCACCGCAGATGTAGACCTTCCTCCTTCTGCTGGTGGGGCGTCAGGTGGGACTGGTGCCCGGGGGTGGGGGGTTGGGGGGGCCGTAGCTGGGAGGAGGGGAGTCCGCAGGTGGCGAGGGGCGGAGCTCGGGGTGGGCAGTCTGGGGGTGACTGGCCGGGGGCGGGAGGGCAGAGGCTGGGGCGGGTCTGGGCTGGCGCACTGAAGTTCACGTGTGTGTGCGCGTGTCTCTGTGTGTACACACGCCCGGGGCGGGGCCTCAGCGCCTGAGCTAACCCGGCCCCGCTCCCTGCAGGGTGACGACGGAGAGGTCGGGCCCCGAGGGCTGCCCGGGGAGCCGGTGAGTGCTGATGCGGGGTTCCGTGGGGCGGGGACCAGCCGGGAGCCACAGGGGCCGCGGGGCTCCAAGCGGCCACTCAGATCTGTTCCCACACCTGCCCTCGCTGCCTGGGCCGGGGACAGCGGGGCCACAGGGGCCCCCAGACCCGAGGCCGCCTCCTCCCTGCCCTGCCCCGCGGCGCCTGGCCCAGACACGCGAGGGCTGCCCAGGGCTTGGGAGTGAGGCCCCTCTCCCGAGGCACCCATAGCGCCCATCGGAGTCCCCATCCGCTCCGGTCCCCGTGGAGAGGCGGGGGCGAGGGAGCGGGCAGAGCGGGTGAGGCCACGCCCCTGGGCACGCGGAGAGCTGCGTGGCAGCCGGCGGCATGGCCTGGACGGGCTGCAGGGTCTGTGCCGGGGGGGCGGGGGGGCAGAGGCGGGCCCCGGCCGAGTCTGCATCACCTGTGCTCTCTCCTTCCAGGGGCCGCGCGGGCTGCTGGGGCCGAAGGGCCCCCCGGGCCCCCCGGGACCTCCCGTAAGTCCTGTCCCTGCTCGTGTGTCTGTCCCACCGTCCTCCCCGCAGCCCCGCGGGCATTCCACCGCTGGCTCCTGTGCTGACCGCCGGGCTGGCTCACCGCTCCCAGAGCCAGGGTGCCCACACGCAGAAAGACTGGCGGCGGGTGTGGGCGGTGGCCAGAGCCATCTGGCCTGACAACCCTGTCCTCACGCACACACGTGTGCTGTATAGACCCGTCCTCACGCACACACGTGTGCTGTATAGACCCCTGTCCTCACGCACACACATGTGCTGTATAGACCCGTCCTCACGCACACACGTGTGCTGTATAGACCCCTGTCCTCACGCACACATGTGTGCTGTATAGACCCCTGTCCTCACGCACACACATGTGCTGTATAAACCCGTCCTCACGCACACACGTGTGCTGTATAGACCCGTCCTCACGCACACACGTGTGCTGTATAGATCCCTGTCCTCACGCACACAATTGTGCTGTATAAACCCGTCCTCACACACACACGTGTGCTGTATAGACCCCTGTCCTCACGCACACACATGTGCTGTATAGACCCGTCCTCACGCACACACATGTGCTGTATAAACCCATCCTCACGCACACATGTGTGCTGTATAGACCCCTGTCCTCACGCACACAATTGTGCTGTATAAACCCGTCCTCACACACACACATGTGCTGTATAGACCCCTGTTCATGCACACATGTGTGCTGTATAGACCCCTGTCCTCACGCGCACACATGTGCTGTATAAACCCGTCCTCACGCACACATGTGTGCTGTATAAACCCGTCCTCACGCACACATGTGTGCTGTATAGACCCCTGTCCTCACGCACACACGTGTGCTATATAGACCCCTGTTCTCCCGCACACACGTGTGCTGTTATAAACCCTGTCCTCCCGCACACACGTGTGCTGTTATAAACACTGATCCGGACGCCACGTGCTCCCTGCTAGACAGCACTTCCAGCAGCTTCTGGAAGTTCTGGAAGGAGGGAGAAGCGCTCGGCTCCAGGGCGGCTTCCCCAGGGCCGGCCTGTCCACCCTCCCCGGCCCCTCGGCCCTGGGCTCACCTGCTTCCCGGGAACGTAGGGCCTGCCCCACACCGCGGGCCCGAGCTCTGTACCCCTGGCCCATCAAGCCACGGGGTTTATCTGGGGCCACGGCGGCCCCTCCGGAGGCTGCGTGTCCTGTGACCCGGCGGCCGGGCCGAGCGGGGAGCGGCCTTCTCCCACATTCAGTCCCGCCTCCTCTCCTCAGGGCGTGACGGGGATGGACGGCCAGCCGGGCCCCAAAGGGAACGTGGTAAGTCTGCGGGTTCCCCTCCCAGCCAGCCAGGGCGATGCCACCCCCAACCAGACGGCGTGGGGAGGAGCCCGCCCGTGCCCGGCCCCCGCTGGGCAGCCCCGGGAGAGCCCACGCCAGCCGGGGGCCGGCCAGCCCAGCAGGGACCCCTCCTCACTGCGGGGGAGGGGTGAGCAGCCCCCCGGCCCCCCGCCCGCGTGCGGTCCCGGGGCGCTGGCGGACGGGCGTGGAGCGGGGGGACTTCCTGCCGGTGGACGCCTCGGGCACTGCCCTCCGGTGGCGGTCTGGGCAGCGTTCCAGAGCAGGGGGCTCGGCCCGGGGTGGGCCTGCAGGCGCTGGCCTGGCCGCCGACCTTTCCCGGGGCAGCCTCCTGGGCGCTGGCGTCGGCAGGGGACAGACTGGAAGGACGGAGGCCAGGAGAGGGGGGCCCCGGCCCCCAAAGGAGGGGGTGTAGACCCGGCCCGCCCTCCAGGGCCCCTTCACGGCTCTGCTTCCGCTGCCTGCAGGGTCCCCAGGGAGAGCCCGGCCCCCCCGGACAGCAGGGCAACCCCGGAGCCCAGGTAAGCGGTGGGGCAGGTTTCCCTGAGCTGCCCCCTGCTGGCCGCCCGAAGGGGCTGCTGCCGGAGGTGGCCTGGAACCAGCCGGTGCGGGAGGAGAGGGAGGGGGGAGATGGGCGATGGGGGAAAGGGGGCTACTGGGGAGGTTGGTGAGGGGAATGGTGGGTGTTAGGGAGAAGGGGACCTGGAAGGGAGGTGGGTGAGAGGGGGAAGGTGGGTGTTGGGGAGGAGGGGGCGATGGGGGAAGGGGGTGAAGGGGGAGGTGGGTGTTGGGGAGGAGGGGGCCGTGGGGGATCGGGGCCGTGGGGGAGGGGCTGTGGAGGAGGTGGGCAAGGGGGGATGTTTCCAGCCACAGTTTCTGACCTCCACCTGCTCTCCCCTCCCCAGGGCCTGCCAGGCCCCCAGGGTGCCATCGGGCCCCCAGGAGAGAAGGTAGGTGGCCGGGCTGGGCACAGGCACCCTCGCCTGCCTGCGGGTGTGGTCCAGGCCGGGGAGGGTGCTGGGCATCGCCAGCTGGGCATGTGACCTTTGTCCTCCGGAGTGGGGGAGGCTGAGGCATGTAGGCCAGAGGCTGTGGATCTTTGTCATTCACTCACACTCTCATTCATTCACTCAGTCTCTCACTCACTCCCTCATTCATTCACCCTCTAGCCTTGTGTGGGGCGACCAGGTTAGGAAGAAGAGTAAACAGGGGGCCCCGTTAAATTTGAACCTGGCCAGGCCTGCCTCCCCCTGGGGCGCTGCCCCCACCTGGCCGGGCGTTTGTTCCGGTTGCAGCACCCGAAGGCCCTGGGGCAGCAGGCTGACCAGCCTGGCCGGTGCTCCGTGTGCGGAAACTTCCAGGCCGATGGTGGGGACTGCCTCTGAGCCTCCCCTTCATCAGTGGTCTCTGAGCAGAAAGGGGGTGTCCTGTGGGGGCGTGCAGAGCAGGGAGGCAGCTGGGAGCCGGTGCCCGCTCACGGTCTGCTCTGTTCCAGGGCCCCCTGGGGAAGCCGGGCCTCCCAGGAATGCCGGGCGCCGACGGACCCCCGGTGAGTACCCGCTGGCCGCTCCCCGTCCGGCCCAGGGAGGGCTGGGCCGGGCTCCGGCCGCCACGTGGTGGCTGTCACTCACCGCCCGCCCCGGAGGCAGCCGGACCACTGAGGCCGGGCTGGGCCCGCTCTCCCGTGTGTCCCTGGGGTGGTGACTGCAGGAGTGGAGACGTGGGGACCCAGCTTGCAGCTTCCCTCGGAGGCGGGGCTGGCGCAGGCGGGCCCGTGTCCCGAGTTTGGAAGGAGGAGGCGTATGTGAGTGTATTTTGGGGCTCACGCGCCGAGGAGGGTGTGAGCTGGAGCCGTGCCACGTGGGGCGCAGCTGTGGCGCCCGCTGTGCTGCCGGGAATAGCGCGGTGGCAGGTCGTCCGCGGGGCGAGGGGGCGGACGCGTCAGCCTCGTGTGGGGGTGACGGTGCATCTGGTCCCCCACCCTCTCTGGAAGGCGCTGGTGGGGTTTTTTTCTTTTTCTTTTTTTCTTTCTGGAACGTTCACTGGGGTGAGCGGCGTGATTATGGGACACGGAGTGTTGGGGCTTCATGGCGCCGCGCAGAGCTGAGCCAGGGCGTTCGCTCCGCGGTGAGCGGCGAGCTGAGCAGACCCCGCGGTTCCCACGTCGCGGGGGAGCGTGGCTGGGCGGCCGGGCGCCGGTGTCCCATCTGGCCCGGGGCTGCAGGTGCAGGCCCGCCGTCCCCACGGGCGCCTGCGCCTCTCCCGGGCGTCAGGTGAAGGGACGCCGTCTGGCAGCCATTCACGTCCTTCATCCACGCTCACGCCCCACCGCGGCCTCCGTCAGACAGCCGCCCGCTGCGCCGGGGAACCCGGGGGTGGGGGAGTGAGACGACTGCAAAGGAAAGCCCAATCCCGAGGCCGTGGCCGGGGGCGTGGCCGCCGGCGGCAGGTTCTGTCCGTGTCCTGCCACAGCTCACGGCGTGGGCCCCGTGTCAGGGAAGTGGCCAGGCCCGTGGCCCTGGGGAAGGAGAGGTGCCTGGGCCCCCCCTGCTTCCCTCCCCTCCCCTCACGGAACCCCTCCCTGCACTGCCCAGGGGTCCCCGGGAGGCTGGGGACACAGGGCCTCTGAGACAGCCCTGGCCCAGAGCCAGTCGCGGCCTCTCGTGGACTCCACGGCTCTTCCTTTATTAAGTGTTTTTGTTGATTTCGCCCTGGAGGGGACCTTGCTCCCCAAGGGCCTGGGAGGGGGTGACCTTGAGCAGACGCCCGTGGTCCTGGCCCGCCGCCTGCGTTAGAGGCAGCTGGGTGCCGTGGGGGCCTCGGCTCCGTGGTGCCTGGAGCCCGGCTGTGGGTTCGGGGTGGGGTCCCCTCCACGGTGGATCTCGCCGTCCCCGGGGCCGGTCTTGCTCCCATTCTGCAGCAGCCGAGGCCAGTGGCTGAGGGACGGGCCTGGGCCACGCCACAGGGAGTGCCACGGTGCTCCGGGCTGTGGTCCTGGCCTCAGCTTCGTGTGTGCATGTGCGTGTGTGCATGTGTGTGCGTGTGCGTGTGCGTGTGTGCATGTGTGTGCGTGTGTGTGCGTGTGTGCATGTGTGTGCGTGTGTGTGCGTGTGTGCATGTGTGTGTATGCGTGTGTGCGTGTGTGCGTGTGTGTGTGTGTGTGTGTGTGCAGGGAAGGGAGTGGGCGGGACCCGGCCGGACTGGCTCTGACTCTCACACTGCAGACCGCCTGCACAGGGGAGGGGAGAGGAGGGGAAGGGATGGGAGAGGAGGGGGCACCCCTCCCACTAATGCGGCTTCTCTTTCCCACAGGGGCACCCCGGCAAAGAGGGCCCCCCCGGGGAGAAAGGAACCCAGGTGGGTGCAGCCGCGCTCCGGCCTGGGCGCCCCCTGCAGGACGGCCTGGGGCTGTCCCTGGCCCTGCCCTGGGCCCGCCCACCGCTCAGAAGGGAGACGGGCAGCTGCGCCCTCTCCCTGCCATGACACCCCTGGTTTCTACATGTGGGGGTGTGGGTGCAGTCCTGGGGCCCCCCTCCGTGGGCGGCCCGCCTGCCTGCTCCCGCGCGGGCTCCATGCTGCTCCAGGGCCCTCGCGGGAGCGTCTGCAATGGCAGCTCAGCCCCCGAGTCCCACCACTTCCCGGGCCCGCATCCCGGGCGTGGCCCCAGGGCGCCTGGCCGTGGCCCGGCCCGGAGGACACCGCCTGTGCCTGCCTTTGCCGGGGGCTGGGTGCGTGGCCGCGGCACCGGCCTGTGTCTTCCTGTGGCCCCTCCGGGTCTGACCACAGGCCCCGCCCCCGAGAGGCGCTAACGGTCTCTCCCTTACTGCAGGGCCCCCCTGGCCCCCAGGGCCCCATCGGCTACCCCGGCCCCCGAGGAGTCAAGGTGAGGCAGCCCTGTGGGTCACCGGGGTCGGGGCTGGGACTGCCGGCGCGCGTGTCCGTTTTCGGAATCCCTCCGGGGCCCCCCTCCCTGCTGCTGCCCCGTCTGCGCGTGGGCCCGGGCCCGGCCTGGGCCTGAGCCGGGCAGGGCGTGAGCCCGGAGCCGGGAGGGCAGCTTCGGAGCCGGGCAGTCCCGGTGCGTCCGTGACGACGCGGATGGCGGACGGTGCTCCTGGCCCCGGGCTCCTCACCTGTCTGTCCGAGCCCGGCCCTCAGTCTCTCCACCTGTCTCGGCCTGCCCCGGGCTCGGAGCGCTGCGGCAGAGGCCGCGGGCAGCCGGGCCGCGGGGGTGCCCGCCTCCTGGCTGCAGCGCCTGCTCAGACGGCGGCGCGGGGACGGACCGGCGGCGTGAGGTGGAGGCGGGGGGGCTCGGACCCGGGTCCTGCGCGGCTCCGGGTGAGACGCTCCCCCTCCCGTCTGTGCAGGGGGCGGACGGCATCCGCGGACTGAAGGGCACGAAGGGCGAGAAGGTGAGTATCCCTCCCCCGGCCCCGCCCGCCCCGCCGGCCTCCCGGTCCCCGCAGCGTGCCTGCCCGGCCTCCCGGTCCCCGCAGCGTGCCTGCCCGGCCGCCCGGCCTGTGTCCTGCCCTCGGGCCCTGCTGGTCCTCGGCCGGCCCCTCGGCGATGCCCCTCCTTCCAGAGCCGCCCCGTCCCCGGGGAGACGTCCCTCCCGCCCCCCCTCAGCTGGGCACACCGCTGCCCCGGCCTGCAGCGGGCACGGCGCCCACCCAGACGCAGGTCCCCGGGCCGACCCGCTGCGGTGCTGAGCCGGCCTGGCCCTCGAGCTCCCGCCCTGGGAATGCAAAGCATGGACACACGTCACGGGGTGGACACAGGTCACGTGATGGACACACGTCACGGGGTGGACACAGGTCACGTGATGGACACACGTCACGGGGTGGACACAGGTCACGTGATGGACACACGTCACAGGGTGGACACACGTCACAGGGTGAACACACGTCACGGGGTGGACACACGTCACGGGGTGGACACACGTCACAGGTGGACACACGTCACGGGGTGGACACACGTCACGGGGTGGACACAGGTCACGGGGTGGACACAGGTCACGTGATGGACACACATCACAGGGTGGACACACGTCACAGGGTGAACACACGTCACGGGGTGGACACACGTCACGGGGTGGACACAGGTCACGGGGTGGACACAGGTCACGTGATGGACACACATCACAGGGTGGACACACGTCACAGGGTGAACACACGTCACGGGGTGGACACACGTCACGGGGTGAACACACGTCACGGGGTGGACACACGTCACGGGGTGGACACACGTCACAGGGTGAACACACGTCACAGGGTGAACACACGTCACGGGGTGGACACACGTCACGGGGATGGACACACGTCACGTGATGGACACATGTCACGGGGTGGACACACATCACGTGATGGACACACGTCACGGGGTGGACACACATCACAGGGTGAACACACGTCACAGGGTGGACACACGTCACGGGGTGGACACACGTCACGGGGTGGACACACGTCACAGGGTGGACACACGTCACGGGGTGGACACACGTCACGGGGTGGACACACGTCACAGGTGGACACACGTCACGGGGTGGACACACGTCACGGGACAGGGGATGGGCCTCGGACCCTCCCTCCAGCGTGCCCAGCGGGGCCGGGGCCCAGAGGCTCGGGCGGAGCCGTGGGCCGTGGCACGTGTGGCGGGGAGGCCATCGGGCGTGGGTTCCCGCGTGGAGACCGGTCCCCTCTCTCGCTGTCCAGGGCGAAGACGGCTTCCCGGGGTTCAAAGGCGACATGGGCATCAAGGGGGACCGGGTGAGTACGGCGGGGAGTCTGGGGGCCCAGGGGGCGGCTTCTCAGAGCGGGGACGGGGGACGCCTCTGAGGACCCCTGGTTCTAGGCAGCGCCCCCTGCAGCTCTCCGCTGCCCCTGGGGTGACCCTCCTGGTGGCCGGGGTCACCGTGTGCTCTCCCCCTCGTCCTGCACCTGCCCGGTGCTCAGCGAGACCAGTTCTGGGCTGCAGAGCCGTTCACTGGCCCCGGGGTTCTGGGCTGGAAGGGGGTGTGGCCACGGGGTTCTGGGCTGGAAGGGGGTGTGGCCCCGGGGTTCTGGGCTGGAAGGGGGTGTGGCTCCCTCCGGGGTTCTGTGCTGGAAGGGGGCGTGGCCCTGGGGTTCTGGGCTGGAAGGGGGCGTGGCCCCGAGGTTCTGTGCTGGAAGGGGGCGTGGCCCCGGGGTTCTGGGCTGGAAGGGGGCGTGGCCCCGGGGTTCTGTGCTGGAAGGGGGCGTGGCCCCGGGGTTCTGTGCTGGAAGGGGGTGTGGCCCCGGGGTTCTGTGCTGGAAGGGGGTGTGGCCCCGGGGTTCTGTGCTGGAAGGGGGTGTGGCCCCGAGGGTTCTGTGCTGGAAGGGGGCGTGGCTCTGGGTTCTGTGCTGGAAGGGGGCGTGGCTCTGGGTTCTGTGCTGGAAGGGGGTGTGGCTCCGGGTTCTGTGCTGGAAGGGGGTGTGGCTCTGGGTTCGGTGCTGGAAGGGGGTGTGGCTCCGGGTTCTGTGCTGGAAGGGGGTGTGGCTCCGGGGTTCTGTGCTGGAAGGGGGCGTGGCTCCGGGTTCTGTGCTGGAAGGGGGCGTGGCTCTGGGTTCGGTGCTGGAAGGGGGCGTGGCTCCGGGTTCTGTGCTGGAAGGGGGCGTGGCTCCGGGTTCTGTGCTGGAAGGGGGTGTGGCTCCGGGGTTCTGTGCTGGAAGGGGGCGTGGCTCCGGGTTCTGTGCTGGAAGGGGGCGTGGCTCTGGGTTCGGTGCTGGAAGGGGGTGCGGCCCGAAGCTCCGGCGGAGGGAGGGGCCCGGCTCGCCGCCCCAGGAGGAGGCGCCGGATTCGGGAGCCCGTGGGCCGAGCCTGTGGGGTGCCCTTGGGGTGCCCACGGCGGCCCCTCACCCTCCCTTTCTGACTTGCAGGGGGAGATCGGCCCCCCGGGCCCCCGAGGCGAGGACGGCCCCGAAGGCCCCAAGGGGCGCGGCGGCCCGAACGGCGACCCCGGCCCGCTGGGCCCCTCTGGGGAGAAGGTGGGTGCGCAGGCGCGAGCGGCACTCCCTGTGGCCGGAGGGCCGCTCCCAGGCCGCGGGCACCGGCTGGGCGCCGGCTCAGGCTGAGCCCCCGGACCTGGGCGCTGGGGCTCCCGACACGGCTCCCGTCCCACCGGCTTCCTCCTGACGCTCCGCCCGCCCCGCACGGGGCATGGAGCCGCCACCGGGCATCGAACCCTGACCTCCTGGTGCCCAGGTCGAGGCTCAGCCCGGAGCCACGGGGCCGGGCGGGCGGGGCTTTCACACCAGGGCGGGAGGGTGTCCGTCCCGGGCCGGCAGGGGCTCCCGTGGACCCTGTCCTTCCGATCAGAATCGCCGTGCGGCCCCTGACACAGCCTCTCTCCGCAGGGAAAGCTCGGCGTCCCCGGGCTCCCGGGCTACCCCGGCCGGCAAGGGCCGAAGGTAACGTACCCCCGCCCCCCGCTCCCCGCCCGCCCGGGGCATTGGCACCGGCCCCCCCTCCCCGCCCGCCCGGGGCATTGGCACCGGCCCCCCCTCCCCGCCCGCCCGGGGCATTGGCACCGGCCCCCCCTCCCCGCCCCACCCCGCCGGCATCGCCCGATCGCAGGCGGCCGCCGTGACCACAGAGGCCGTGCCGCTGTGTCAGCTCCGCCCGCGCAGCCCGTGGCGGGACGTGGCCGCCGGGGCCGGAGGTGCTGGGCAGTTAGTGGCGTCAGAGGAGGGACACGCAGCCGAGAGGGGCACCTCTGCCTCGGGCTCTGCACCCTGAGCTCGGGGAGCCGCGGGCTTGGACGCCCCGGGGACCGGAAGGCCCTGTGCTCGCACCCGGGAGACGCAGACGCAGCTCCTCACGTCACGCTCAGCGCGGCTCCCTCTCTGCACCCTCAGCCCTGTCCCCCCGTCCCCCTGAGAAGCGCCAGCGCCCGCCCCGCAGATAGTGCTCTCCCCCTGTCCACGGGGCCCTCCCTCTGTCCACGGGGGGCTCTCTCTCTGTCCACGGGGGCCCTCCCTCTGTCCACGGGGGCCCTCCCTCTGTCCACGGGGGCTCTCTCTCTGTCCACGGGGGCTCTCCCTCTGTCCACGGGGGCCCTCCCTCTGTCCACGGGGGGATCTCCCTCTGTCCACGGGGGCCCTCCCTCTGTCCACGGGGGCTCTCTCTCTGTCCACGGGGGCTCTCCCTCTGTCCACGGGGGGCTCTCCCTCTGTCCACGGGGGGCTCTCCCTCTGTCCACGGGGTCCCTCCCTCTGTCCACGGGGGCTCTCCCTCTGTCCATGTGCACTGTGTGGGACTCTCCCTCTGTCCACGTGGGGCTCTCCCTCTGTCCACGGTGGCCCCTCCCTCTGTCCATGGGGGCTCTCCCTCTGTCCATGGGGGCTCTCCCTCTGTCCACGGGGGCCCTCCCTCTGTCCACGGGGGCTCTCCCCCTGTCCACGGGGGCCCTCCCTCTGTCCACGGGGCCCTCCCTCTGTCCACGGGGGCCCTCCCTCTGTCCATGGGGGCCCTCCCTCTGTCCACGGGGGGCCCTCCCCCTGTCCACGGGGGCCCTCCCTCTGTCCACGGGGGGCCCTCCCTCTGTCCACGGGGGGCCCTCCCTCTGTCCACAGGGGGCCCTCCCTCTGTCCACGGGGGGCCCTCCCTCTGTCCACGGGGGGCCCTCCCTCTGTCCACGGGGGGCTCTCCCTCTGTCCACGGGGGGCTCTCCCTCTGTCCACGGGGGCCCTCCCTCTGTCCACGGGGGCCCTCCCTCTGTCCACGGGGGCCCTCCCTCTGTCCACGGGGGCCCTCCCTCTGTCCACGCTGGCCCCTCCCTCTGTCCACGGTGGCCCCTCCCTCTGTCCACGGGGGCTCTCCCTCTGTCCACGGGGGGCTCTCCCTCTGTCCACGGGGGGCCCTCCCTCTGTCCACGGGGGCCCTCCCTCTGTCCACGGGGGGCTCTCCCTCTGTCCACGGGAGGCTCTCCCTCTGTCCACGGGGGCTCTCCCCCTGTCCACGTGGGGCTCTCCCTCTGTCCACATGCACCGCGTGGGGCTCTCCCTCTGTCCACGTGGGGCTCTCCCTCTGTCCACGTGGGGCTCTCCCTCTGTCCACGTGGGGCTCTCCCTCTGTCCACGTGGGGCTCTCCCTCTGTCCACGTGGGGCTCTCCCTCTGTGCACGCGTGGGGCCTGGGGTGACGTAGCCAGAGCTGGGCTGCAGGTGGTGGTGACTGGCATTTCTGACTCGCAGCCGCGCTTTATTTAGCGTGCTCCGGGAGACAGCACACGTGACAGCAGGTGCAGTGAGAGTCACACGCTGTCGCCAGCTAATCTTAGTCATAGGTGTTTCCTTTCCTCTCAACACAGCTCCCTGGAGACACGGCCTTGTGAGAGGAGGGTGTGGAGGGAGGAAGGAGGGAAAACACGGTCAAGACTCAGTTGTGGTTTTAGGTTTGGAGTCTTTGAGATGCTTAGGAAATGTCCATGAAGTGGATGGCAGGTGGATAGATGGGTGGGTGGGTAGATGATGAATGGATGACAGATGGATGCATGGATGGTGAATGGATGGATGGTGGGTGGATGGGTGGATGGATGATGGGTGGATGGATAGATGGTGAGTGGATGGATGGATGGTGAGTGGATGGATGGATGGATAGTGGGTGGATGGATGGATGATGGATGGATGGATGATGGATGGATGGAAGGAAGGATGGAGGATGGATGGGGAGTGGATGGTAGATGGTAGATGGGTGAAAGAGTGTGTGGATGGTGGGTGGATGATGGATGGTTGATGGGTGATAGATAATACAAGATAGATGGATGATGGATAGATGATGGAAAGATGGGTGGATGGATGGATGGATGATGGATGGATGGTGGGTGGGTGGATGGGTAGTGGATGGTAGATGGTGGGTGGATGGTAGATGGTGGATGGATGATGGAAGGATGGATGGATGATGGATGGATGGTGGGTAGATGGATGGATGGGTGGATAAAAGGATGGAGGATGGATGGTAGATGGTGGGTGGATGGAGGAGTGTGTGGATGATGGATGGATGGATGGATGGATGGATGGATGGAAGGATGGAGGATGGATGGTAGATGGTGGGTGGATGGAGGAGTGTATGGATGATGGATGGATGGATGGATGGAAGGATGGAGGATGGATGGTAGGTGGTGGGTGGATGGTGGATGGATGGTGGAAGGATAGATGGATGGATGATGAATGGATGGTGGGTGGATGGATGGATGGTAGATGGGTGGATGGAGGAGTGTGTGGATGATGGATGGATGATGGATGGATGGAAGGATGGAGGATGGATGGTAGATGGTGGGTGGATGGATGGATGGTGGAAGGATAGATGGATGGATGATGGATGGATGGTAGGTGGATGGATGGATGGTGGGTGGATGATGGATGGATGGTGGGTGGATGGATGGATGGATGGAAGGAAGGATGGAGGATGGATGTAGTTGGTGGGTGGATGGAGGAGTGTGTGGATGATGGATGGATGATGGATGGATGGATGGAAGGATGGAGGATGATGGTAGATGGTGGGTGGATGGTGGGTGGATGGTAGATGATGGATGGATGGATGGAAGGATGGATGGTAGATGGTGGGTGGATGGTGGGTGGGTGGTAGATGATGGATGGATGGATGGATGGATGGAAGGATGGATGGCAGATGGTGGGTGGACGGAGGAGTGTGTGTCGGAGGCTGGGGTGGGGACAGGTGTCCGGGGACTCACACAGCGGAGCTTGGCCCTGGCCCAGCCTCAGGCTCGCCCTCGCCCTCTCTTGCAGGGCTCCATCGGATTTCCGGGATTCCCGGGCGCCAACGGCGAGAAGGGGGGCCGGGTAAGGACGTGGGCCGCAGGCGTGGCTGCGCGCTGAACTCGGGATTATTGTTCGGGGCCACTCGGCAGGGGCCCGGAGCTCCGGCTCCTTCCGGACGGTGGCCAGAACCGGAACCAGGTTCCAGAGGGTTCCAGAGGGGCCGGGAAGCTGGAGGGAGTGGCCTGTGATCCAGGACTCCCCGGCCGCGGACTGAGCCCTCTTTCATTCCAGGGCACCCCTGGGAAGCCGGGACCACGGGGGCAGCGAGGCCCGACGGTAACTGCCCCCCCTTTGGGCCGAGGGCCCTTCAGAAACGGGAGCGCATTGGGGGTGGGGGGAGGGCTTGGAGCTGGGTGAGCTGACCTCTCTCCCCTCCCATCTGCAGGGCCCACGGGGCGAGAGGGGCCCGCGGGGCATCACGGGAAAGCCTGGCCCCAAGGTACGTTCTGGCACGGGGGGGTGATGGGGCTCGGGGAAGGGTGACGGGCAGGGGGGGGTGATGGGGCTCGGGGGAGGGTGACGGGCAGGGGGGGGTGATGGGGCTCGGGGGAGGGTGACGGGCAGGGGGAGGGTGGCGGGCAGGGGGGAGGGTGACGGGCACGGGGGAGGGTGACGGGCAGGGGGGAGGGTGACGGGCACGGGGGAGGGTGACGGGCTGGGGGGAGGGTGGCGGGCAGGGGGGAGGGTGACGGGCAGGGGGGAGGGTGATGGGCACGGGGGAGGGTGACGGGCTGGGGGGAGGGTGACGGGGCTGGGGGAGGGTGACAGGCAGGGGGGAGGGTGGCGGGCAGGGGGAGGGTGACGGGCAGGGGGGAGAGACGGGCAGGGGGAAGGTGGAGGGCAGGGGGAGGGTGATGGCTGGGGGCAGTGACCAGGCCGTGGCAGGGGCTCCGGTCAGACGGTTATAACATCCGCGCTTCCCTTGCTCCCTCCAGGGCAACTCTGGAGGCGACGGCCCGGCCGGCCCGCCGGGTGAACGGGTGAGCACCCACCGTTTGCTGAGCTCGGGCGCCGGGAGAGGGACCCTGGGTCCAGGCGGGGGAGGGGCAGCCAGCCTGGACGGTCCTCTCTCTGGTCTGGGGAGGTGAGGGGGGGGCACCGGGAACCGAGCTGCCGAGGGGCCTCGCCCTGCGACCGGCTCCCGGGCCCCGGCTGGCCCTCCGTCAGGCCCGGCGGCGGGGGGGAGGGGGGGGGGCTGAGTTGATGGAGCCGAGGTGGGGGTGGCAGGCACTGGGCCTGTGCCTAGAGCAGACCCCGAGGCCCTGGGCGGCCCCGCCCCCCACTTGCTGGGGAGGGGCCGCCTGACCTCACACTGGCCCTTCTCTGCCCCCAGGGACCAAACGGACCCCAAGGACCCACGGGCTTTCCTGGACCCAAGGGCCCCCCTGTAAGTACACGGGGTTTCCTGGGGCCCCGTGCGGCCTCCACATGGGCGTGGGTCAGCGGGCGGGAGCCCCCCGCGCAGGCTGCAGGCGGAGCGGCTGCGGCTGCGTCCACCTGCCCCTCCTGGGCACCCCTTTCTCCCCTGGGCCGCGCACCCCTTTCTCCTCCGGCCGTGGACTTCCTGGCTGGTTCTGCGTCAGGTCCCGGGCCACGTCACCAAGCACCACAGTCCCGGTCGCTACGCAACCAGGAGCTGCCCCCTCCGGCGGCCGAAGTGCCATCCGTGCACAGGGCTCGCTCCTGGGGGCTCCGGGGGCTCCCCATCGCCCCGCCCCAGCCCCTGGTGCTGCTGGCAGTGGGCTCATAGGCCGCCCTCTGTCTCCCCCTCATCCCCACGGGCCCCTCCCCTGGGCTCCCACGGCCTCTCCCGTGGCTCCCAGGGCCCCTTCTATGGCCTCCACTGTCTCTCTCGTGGCACTCACGGGCCTCCCCTATGGCTCCCACGGCCCCTCCCGTGGCTCCCACGGGCCCCTCCCGTGGCCGAGTCGTCAGAGCTCTGTTTTCACAGGACACCGGTCATCGGCCAGGCCCTGACTGAGGCCATGAGCAATGCCCTCCCTCCAGCGAGGCCCCGCCCGTCCCCGTGGCTGGGACTGTGGGACAGTGTGTGGGGGGTTTTGCCTAATGAGGCCCCGTGGGGCTGTGGTTAGGAAGGAGCTGACCTCTGACCCTGGCCGGGTTCGAGGGGACGATGCCGGCGGAAAGGCAGCGGCGGCTCCTCAGCGCTGAGCGCCATCCCCCCGCTTCTCCCCAGGGCCCCCCCGGCAAGGACGGCCTCCCGGGACACCCCGGCCAGAGAGGCGAGACCGTGAGTACAACTGCGGGCCCGGCGGCCGCAGGGGCTCAGCCTGGGAGCGGCCACGCAGGCCGGCCTCACGTGGCGTCTCTGTGTAGGAGGCGGGCGCCGGCCCGGGTCAGGCCACACGTAAAGGCCACGGGCCCCTGGGCCTGTGCGGCCGCCTCCTTCCCCCGTGCTCTCGCTGGACGCAGTGGGCTCCCAGGGCCGGCTGCCGCTTGGCTGCTTCTCGATGGAAAACCCAGAGAAGGTCCTGGTCGGTGTGCTCAGTGGTTAGAGCATCGGCCCGTGCACCGAAGGGTTGAGGGTTCGATTCCCAGTCAAGGGCACTTACCTGGGCTGCAGGTTCCATCCCAGCCCTGATTGCGGGGCCTGCGGGAGGCAACTGATCAGTGTGTCTCTCTCATCAATGTTCCTCTCTCCCTCTCCCCCTCCCTCCCTCCCTCCCTCCCTCCCGCTCTCACAATCAATGGGAAGAATGTCCGCGGGTGAGGATTACCAAAAACTGGGCAAACCAACCGGAAACCCAGGAGAAGGGCCGTGGGCCTGGCACCAACACTGGCTGTCCAGCCAGGTCCTTCCGGCCGCGGGGCTGGCCACAGGGGGGGGCTGGAGGGCCCTTCGCCCGCGTGCTGCTGACCGGCGGCTGGGCCAGCAAGGCTGACCTCCGGCCTTGCCCTGCCCTTCGCCATGCCCGCTGTGGGCTTGGCATCCGGAGGGGAAGGACCCTGCCATGCCAGGTGTAAGAGAGGCGGGAACGTCCAGCCGTGAGCCACTTGGGATTCGGTCCAGCTTCACGCTGTGTCCTCGGCAGACATGTCCCAGAGTGGGTGTGGGAACACCGTGACCTGAGGCTCCGGGCTCAGCCGGTTCAGGACTCACAGCCTGTGAGCTCCGTGTGGCCGCCCTCAGGGGCGGGTGTGTGTGTGTGTGTGTGTGTGTGTGTGTGTGCGCTCTCCTCTCTCCGCAGCCCCTCCCCGGTCCGCCCTCTGCCGGCCCAGCACGCGGGCGGCTCCCCGTGGAGGGCGGCGGCTCCGTGCGTGTGTAACCCGCTCCCCGGCGCCGGCTTTAGACCCCGTCTCCCTGGCGCGGTGACGGAGCGTATTTGCCCGCACCTTCCCTGCGGCGGCGCGGGGCTGGGAGATGGAAATTGCTCTGCTCTCGGTTTTTGGGAAAATGAAAGCATTGCCTGAGCCGTGCGTGGCCTCTGATGCTGGCAGCCAGGCGGGGCTCGCACGGCGGGGCTTTCCTCCCGGGCCGTTCCGGAGGGGCTGGCAGGGCGGCCGCTGCCCGTCTGTGCCGGCAGGTTCCCGGGCGCTGCCTCTGCCTCTGCCACGCGGCCGCCGCAGGCACAGGGCACAGGGCACCCGCTCCAGACCCCTGACGGCTGCCTCCGCGGGGAGCCCAGGGGCCTCCTGGGCGTGCCTTTGTTCTGCCTTTAAAAACAGAAGCAGCCCTGGCCAGTGTGGCTCAGTGGCTAGAGCTTCGGCCTGCAGACCAGAGTCCCTCCAAGTTCGAGCCCGGCCAAGGGCACCCACCTGGTCGGGGCGCGTGCAGGAGGCAGCCATTGGATGTGTGTCCCTCTCAGTCTCTCCCTCTCCCTTCACTCTCCCTAACAATAAATGGAAATACCCTCTGGCGAGGACCAACAAATAAACATAAAACCAGCAGCAGACGGTCATTCTCTTCCCCTTCCTCCCTGAGGGACGATGCCCTCCTGCGCAGCACGGGGTCCCCGGCCAGGGCCAAGCCGGGCCTTTCTTGCTCCCTGCCCCCCCCCCCCAGCCCCGGCCCTCCTGGCCACTGAGCAGGGGCCCTGGCCTCGTCGGCTCCCCGTGTCTGACCTTGTCAGCACCGCCCGCACAGGGAGCTGCTCCAGAAATGGCATGGCCTTCGCCTGTAGCCAGCAGGGCCCAAGCAGGGAGCCCGCAGGGACGTGGAGGCCAGGCCGGCATGGTAGAGCGTGGCAGAGCGTGGCTGACCATGGCAGAGCGTGGCTAAGCGTGGCAGAGAGTGGCTGAGCGTGGCAGAGCGTGGCTGACCATGGCAGAGCGTGGTACTGAGGTGTCCGGGAGCCTGCCCGCCGCCTCCCCACAGGAGCCCGTGGCACTCAGGCGGGTGGTTGTGTGCGTGCGTGCCCGTGTGCAGAGCAGACACGGGAGATCGGGGACGCGAGCCTGGCACACGCAGAGGCTGTGCCAGGAAGGAGCCTGCGCTCCTGGCTAAGGGTGCGGGGGTGGGGGGCAGCTGGAACCTGCCCGATCTGAGCACTCGCCACGTGAGCAGCACGGTCCCCGCGGCGTCGGTGACGAGGCACAGCCCAGGCCGCGCCCGGCCCAGCTCTGGCAGAAACGGCATCGAATCTGCCCAGAGAATGAACCGTTCAGGGACGTTATAACGAGCAGTTTTTAAAATACCTTTTTGTTGATCCAGAGAGAAAGGGAGAGGGATATATATATATATATATATATATATATAGAGAGAGAGAGAGAGAGAGAGAGACATCCAGGATGAGAGAGAATCAGGGGTCTGCTGCCTCCTGCACACCCCCCACTGGGATGGAGCCCGCAGCCCGGGCCTGTGCCCTGACCGGGAATCGAACCACGGCTCCTGGTGCCCGGTCCACGCTCAGCCTCGGCCCTGCCGGGCGGGCGGATGGAGGGTGTTACAGCACGTCCCCCCGCACACAGGAGGGAGCAGGGGAATCTGCCGAGCCGGCTTCCTGGCCTTCGGGAGCCCACGCTGAGGAGGGACCGGTCCTCCGAACACGGGGACACGCGGGGATGGACGGGTGGGGACAGCCCATGGGAACCGCACAGGCTGGGAGGGGGGGGCGCTGCAGCCGTCTCAGCTGCGACTCTCTCCACAGGGTTTCCAAGGCAAGACCGGCCCCCCAGGCCCCCCGGGCGTGGTCGGCCCTCAGGTGAGACCACGTCACCCGGGTCACTGTGTGCGAGCCTCGGCCCCGCAGCCAGGGCCCTCCTTAGATTGGGGAGCAGAGGGGCCCCTGGGCGCCCCCGGAAATGTGGCTGATGCCGGTCTCCCACAGGGTCCCACCGGAGAGACGGGCCCGATGGGCGAGCGTGGCCACCCCGGGCCGCCGGGCCCGCCGGGCGAGCAGGGCCTCCCGGGCCTCGCCGGGAAGGAGGGGACGAAGGTGAGTGCTCAGACCTCCCACGCCAGCCCCTCCCCGGACCACCGCCGAGGCTCTGTCTGCTCTGCTCCTCGCTGGTGGACGGTCATCTCTCAGACAGGCCCCCGGCCAGCCCCTGCCCTGACCCTGAGCCCAGCCCCCTGCCCTGACCCTGACCTCAGCCCCCTGCCCTGACCCTGACCCTGACCCTGAGCCCAGCCCCCTGCCCTGACCCTGACCCTGAGCCCAGCCCCCTGCCCTGACCCTGACCTCAGCCCCCTGCCCTGACCCTGACCCTGAGCCCAGCCCCCTGCCCTGACCCTGAGCCCAGCCCCCGGCCCTGAGCCTAAGCCCAGCCCCTGCCCTGACCCTGACCCTGAGCCGAGCCCCATGCCCTGACCCTGACCCTGAGCCCAGCCCTCTGCCCTGACCCTGACCCTGACCCTGAGCCCAGCCCCCTGTCCTGACCCTGACCCTGACCCTGAGCCCATCCCCTGCCCTGACCCTGACCTCAGCCCCCTGCCCTGACCCTGACCCTGACCCTGACCTCATCCCCCTGCCCTGACCCTGACCCTGAGCCCAGCCCCTGCCCTGACCCTGAGCCCAGCCCCTGCCCTGACCCTGAGCCCAGCCCCCTGCCCTGACCCTGACCCTGACCCTGAGCCTGAGTCCAGCCCCTGCCCTGACCCTGAGCCCAGCCCCCTGCCCTGACCCTGACCCTGAGCCCAGCCCCTGCCCTGACCCTGAGCCCAGCCCCCTGCCCTGACCCTGAGCCCAGCCCCTGCCCTGACCCTGACCCTGAGCCCAGCCCCTGCCCTGACCCTGACCCTGAGCCCAGCCCCCTGCCCTGACCCTGACCCTGAGCCCAGCCCCTGCGCTCGATCAGAATGGGGATGGGCTGACCGCGGCAGCGCAGGGCCTGGGGGTCCAGCTGTCCTTGCCCTCGGCCTGTGGCACGGTCTGTCTCAGCTCCTCCCCTGCTGCCACACACGGATGCCCTGACCCTTCACTGCCCACGTTTTCTGGAAAAACCCCAAGTGAGGGACAAGAGGACAGACGGGACAGACCACGGCCCAGGGCACCAGCGTGGCCCGCCCCCCAGGACCCGGAGTGCCAGCCCGGGGTCCGGTCCGGTCCGGTTCCTAAGGCCACGCGCCCAGCAGTCCCCCTCCTGCACCCCGTGGCCCGGCCCCATCACCGCCCGCGCTCTGTTTCAGGGGGACCCCGGCCCCGCCGGCCTGCCCGGGAAGGACGGCCCCCCAGGACTGCGCGGCTTCCCCGGGGACCGCGGGCTCCCGGGCCCAGTGGTGAGTGCGGGGCCGGCGGGGACGGGCGGACACTGCCCGGCCGGCGCCCTCCCGCCGTGCCCTTGACCCTGACCTGACCCCAGTCTCCACGCCTTGCAGGGAGCGCTCGGACTGAAGGGCAGCGAGGGGCCCCCCGGCCCGCCGGGCCCCGCGGTGAGTGCGGCCCCCAGGCCTCCCTGTCCTCTGGCTCAGGGAGGAGAGGACGGGGGCGGGGGGTGGACAGAGCTGGTCCTGAGCGGCAGGGGAGACGCAGGACCAGAGTCCGTGCAGAGGCACCAGGAGCCACCGTGGGCTCTGAGCGAGGCGGGGGATCGCAGTGCTTGAGGGGTCTGTGTGTGCCGCTGGGGAGCCGGAAATGAACCCCTTTCTTGCCCGCCCCAGGGATCTCCCGGGGAGAGAGGGCCGGCCGGAGCTGCCGGGCCCATCGGGATTCCAGGCAGACCTGGCCCCCAGGGACCCCCGGGGCCCGCCGGCGAGAAAGGAGCGCCGGTGAGTACCTCCTGGAGGCGCCGGGGACCTCCTCCCCCTCACCTGGGGGTTCCCCACCTGGGGGTTCCCTCACCTGGGGGTTCCCCCACCTGGGGTTCCCTCACCTGGGGTTCCCTCACCTGGCGATTTGGGGGGGGGTTGAGGTGGTCCTCCAGGTGAGTGAGTGTGCAGGTGAGTGTGTGTGCAGGTGAGTGTGTGTGCAGGTGAGTGTGTGCAGGTGAGTGTGCAGGATCAGGCGTGTCCTGACAGTCCGGGGGCGGGTCCCTGAGTTGACCGGGTTCTTCCATGGCGTGTCCTGAGCGGGAGGGTGTGGGCAGCTCCCGGCAAGAGCAGCCGTCATGCCTGCACATCTGTGCCGACACATGCCAGCACGGGGGCTGGGACCCTGTGTCCAGAGTGGCCGCCCAGGCCCGGGGCCACATGGGGGCGCCGCCCGCAGTGTGCACGCCCTGCCTGTGGGGGGTGGCATTGGGACGGGCAGGTCCTGGTGGGCCGGGCGGTGTGGAGGGAAGACGGGGGATGTGTGATGGGAGGGCCCAGTTCCAGCCTCGGCAACGTCATCACCTCCATTCTCCACCAACACCCTCCCTGCCAAACACACATGTGCACACTCACACACACATTACACATGTGCACACACCCCCACACTCACATTACACCCATGTGCATACCCACCCACACTCACTCATTACACACATGTGCACACACGGGGGTCTGCTGGGCCGGGGCTGGATCCAGGCTCGGCTGCTCCCCACGGTGCCTCAGTTTCCCCGGACGGTGCGGGTGCTGCTCGGGAGCCAGGGTGGGGCTGGTGAGGGCGGCCTCAGCCAATCTGGCTGACGTCCCTGAGACAGGCCCGTCATGCCCCACGTCCCGCCCGGGCCTCCCGGGGCGGAGCTGACACGCGTGTGACGTGGGCGGAGCTGACACGCGTGTGACGTGGGCGGAGCTGACACACACGTGTGACATGGTCTTCTCTCCTTCAGGGTGAGAAAGGCCCACAAGGCCCCGCCGGCCGCGACGGCCTCCAGGGTCCGGTGGGGCTCCCCGGCCCGGCCGGCCCCGTGGGCCCCCCCGGAGAAGACGGGGACAAGGTAAGCACAGCGGGGCCGGCCCTCCGGCTGCGCCTCCTGCGCCGCGCTCCCGCGGACGTGGCTGGAGCCGGCAGCTCGCCGCAGGCCCTGCCACGCCTCCGAGGTGGAGCCGGCGCCGCAGGGACCGGAGGCGGGTGGCGCTCTCGGCGTGGAGTCGGTGCCCGCTGTGGCCAGACGGCCGGAGGGCGGGTAGATATTTCCGTTGGGATTTGGCCGCCGTTCCCGTCGGCTCGGCGTCCGTGTGGCGTGGGTGGGGCCGTCCCGCCCAGCGCCCCGTTAAATCGGAACCCGCTGAGCCCGGGCGGCTCCTCCCGGAGCCCTGAGCCGCGGGGGCGCGGGGCGGCTCCCGCCGTGGACAGCCGTCCCTCGGGCGCGGAGATCAGTGGGTGGCGGGGCAGGTAAGACCCCGGGCCCGGGCTGACGGGTCTCTGCTTCCTCGCAGGGAGAGCTCGGGGAGCCGGGGCAGAAGGGCAGCAAGGGGGACAAAGGAGAGCAGGTGAGGACCCCGCGGGGCCGCGGGCGGGGCCGGAGCTTCCCGGACCCCCGCCTCCTCCGCCGGCCCCTCCCCGGGCCGCAGCCGTGGCTCCGGAAACATCCGTGTCCGTCTGTCCCCACAGGGTCCGCCCGGGCCCACGGGCCCTCAAGGCCCCATCGGACAGCCGGGCCCCTCGGTGAGTGTCTGCGTCCAGGCCGCTCAGGCCCTGGCCCCCCGGCGCGGGCAGCCGGACGCAGGCCTCACGCCCGCCGTGTCCCCGCAGGGAGCCGACGGAGAGCCGGGGCCCCGCGGCCAGCAGGGCCTTTTCGGGCAGAAAGGGGACGAAGGCCCACGAGGGTTCCCCGGGCCCCCGGGGCCCGTGGGGCTGCAGGTAACGGGGGGAGTGTGTCCGATGGCGGGTGCACCTGCCCCTCTGCCCCTCCCGCCCCGCCCTGCTCACCCCTCCGTCCGCAGGGCCTGCCGGGGCCGCCGGGAGAGAAGGGCGAGACGGGGGACGTGGGCCAGATGGTAAGTGCGGGGCCGGCCGTGGCGGCGGCTTCCCTTGGGCCACGTGGCATTCCGGCGCCCAACGCTCCGCTCTCTCCTCCTAGGGCCCGCCCGGCCCCCCCGGCCCCCGAGGGCCCTCCGGAGCGCCCGGCGCTGACGGGCCGCAGGGGCCCCCCGGAGGAATCGGCAACCCCGGAGCCGTGGGGGAGAAGGTGACCCCCCGACGCCCCGCGTCCTATGAGCGTGTGTGCGAGTGTGTGTATGTGCGTGTGTCTGTGCATGTGTGTGTCTGTGCATGTGTGTGCATGTGCGTGTGCGCATGTGTGCGTGCATGTGTGTGCGTGTATGTATGTGTCTATGCACGTGTGCGTATGTGTGCGTGTGTGCATGTGTGTGCGAGTGTGTGCGTGTGTGTCATGTATGTGTGCATGTGTGCATGTGTCTGTGCGTGTGCGTGTCTGTGCATGTGTCCGCGCGCGCGCGCGTGTGTGTGTGTGTGTGTGAGAACCCGGTGTTGGGGCCACTGCTCCCGGCCCCACGTGACCCGTTTCCTCCGCAGGGCGAGCCCGGAGAAGCTGGCGAGCCCGGCCTTCCCGGAGAAGGGGGCCCCCCGGTGAGTGAGGGGGCGGGGGCCCGGTGCAGGGTGGGGGCTCCCTCTGCCTCGGGGTGCCATCCAGGAGTCGGAGCCACAGATCCTCTTGTGCCCGCCTCAAAAAGGGCACGTGTGTGCGTGTGTAGATGTTCCCGTGCGTGTGTGCGTGCGGGTTGCACATGTGCGTGGGGGGGTGGGGGGTGCAGGCAGATGTCAGCACGTATGACTGGCGGCAGCCAGTGGCTGGGTGGCTGGCGTTCCGGGCCTTTCCACAGGCTGTGTCCTGTGGGCCGTGTCCCCTCCTCGGCCCCGAGAGGGACCCCTCCCCTGCGGTCAGTGGGAGCCGCCTCCGGCTGCTGGGGTCCTTGGGGCCCAGGAGGCGGCTGGGGGAGAGCCTCCTTGGCATCCAGCTGCCCCCCAACAGCGTACCCCAGGAGGGGCCTCAGGGTCCGTGCTGGCTCCCGGGGAGCTGCCCGCCCCTCCCCCCCCGCCCCCGCGGCCCCGTCTGCGTTCGCTCTGGGCTCACGGCGCCTTCCTGCAGGGACCCAAAGGCGAGAGGGGGGAGAAGGGCGAGGCCGGCCCGTCGGGTGCTGCTGGACCCCCCGGCCCCAAAGGCCCGCCCGGCGACGACGGCCCCAAGGGCAGCCCCGTGAGTACTGAGCCACTCGCACCCGCGCCCACGTCCGCGCCACTCGCACCCGCGGCCACGTCCGCGGCCACGTCCGCGCCCCCCGCACCCGGGCCCTGGTCCCCGTCCCCCCCGCACCCGGCCCTGGTCCCCGCCCCCTCCCCCCCCCACGCCCAGGCCCTGGTCCCCATCCCCCCGTCCCGTGCCGCGGGCCGGGGAGGCGGCTAGGGAGAGGCTCTGAGCGGGCAGGGAGCGTGCTGGGTGGCACTGTGCCCCGTGCCCACGCCCCCGTGCTGCCCGCCCCGGCTCCGCTCAGGGAGGCCCGGAGCTGCACGTTCTGGAAGCCAGTCCCAGCCGGGTGCTCAGGAGGAGGAGGGCCTCGGGGAGCCGCCCGCCCCGGCGCATGGGGGGCTCGGGTGACGCCCAAGAAGGGCTCCCGGGGCGAAGGGCGTGGGGGGCAGGAAGGAGGGAAGGGAGGGGAGGGGGGGCAGGAAGGAGGGAAGGGGAGGGGAGACGGGGGGGGGGGCTCTGAGGGAGGGGAGGCGGGGGGGGAGGCTCTGAGGGAGGGGAGGCGGGGGGAGGCTCTGAGGGAGGGGAGGCTGGGGGGGCTCTGAGGGAGGGGAGGCGGGGGGGGATGCTCTGGGGGAGGGGAGGCGGGGGGGGCTCTGAGGGAGGGGAGGCGGGGGGGGAGGCTCTGAGGGAGGGGAGGCGGGGGGAGGCTCTGAGGGAGGGGAGGCGGGGGGGGGCGGCCTCCCGCAGCGGCCGGGAGGTCGCTGGGCGGGGCTGAGCCGGCGCCTGCCTCTCTCTCCGCTGCAGGGCCCCGTCGGTTTCCCCGGAGACCCCGGCCCCCCCGGAGAGCCGGGCCCCGCGGTAGGTCTGGGCCCTGAGCCGGGTCCCCCGCGGTGCTGACCTGCCCGCAGCCCGGCTTTCTACGGGGGGAGGGGGTATTTGTGAGCCCTCCCCGGGGCGTCCGCAGGGGGCAGAGGCGGACGGTCCCCGCCTGGACGCGCTGTGTCCGGCTCCCTCGGCGGCTCAGTGCCGTCCGGAGACTGAGGGCCGCGCTCTCGCCCCGCAGGGTCAGGACGGCCCCCCGGGGGACAAAGGGGACGACGGCGAGGCCGGGCAGACGGTGAGTGCCCCGTGCGTGGCCTCGGGGTCAGGTGGAGGCGGCTGTGGGTTCCGGCGATTGGCGACTTGCTTTTATTGATTTTAGAAAGACAAGGCGGAGAGAGAGAAAAAACATTGATGTGAGGAGAAACACCCATCAGCTGCCTCCTGCACGCCCCCTCCTGGGGACCAAGCCCAAAACCCGGGCCTGTGCGCTGACCAGGAGTCGAACCCGGGACCCTTGTGGTATCCACTGAGCACCCAGCCAGTGCAGGGCAGTCTGTTCTTGCTTGGCCGGTCCTGTCCCTCCCGGAAGGGGCTCTTCCCATCAGCCCCCGGGCTGGGCCACACAGCGGCACCCGCACCCCGAGAGGGTCTGAGACCCGGTGTCCGGCCGCGTCTCTGAGGGGCGCTCAGGGCCTGAGGCCTCCAGCTCCCCCTCCCCGCCCGCACCCTCGGGGCGTCACTGTCCCCCCCCCCCGCCCTCCCCCCCGGCCACCGCGTCCGCTTCCAGCAGGCGGCGCTCACGGCGGCGAGCCCGTCACGGGGGTCTGGGGAGCGGGGGGCGGGGTAGCCAGCAGGTACATCAGCCCCGAGACGGCGGTCAGGGTCGTCTGCCAGGACACGGCTCAGCGTGTTCCTCGGGCCGAGCCCTGCCCAGCCCCCCGCCCAGCCCCCCGCCCAGCCCCCTGCGCCTCCCACAGCCAACTGACCCCTTCTCTCTGCCTCCAGGGATCACCGGGCCCCACCGGTGAGCCAGGCCCATCGGGGCCTCCAGGAAAACGGGTAACGGTCTCCCTGCCCATCCCCCTGTCCATCTCCCCTGCCCGTCCCCCCTGCCCGTCCCCCTGCCCGTCTCCCCTGCCCGGTCCCCCTGCCTGTCCCCCTGCCCGTCCCCCTGCCTGTCCCCCCTGCCCGTCCCCCCCTGCCTGTCCCCCTGCCCATCCCCCCTGCCCGTCACCCTGCCCGTCCGCCTGTCCGTCCCCCTGCCCGTCCCCCCTGCCCATCACCCTGCCCGTCCCCCTGTCCATCTCCCCTGCCTGTCCCCCTGTCCATCTCCCCTGCCCGTCTCCCCTGCCCGGTCCCCCTGCCTGTCCCCCTGCCCGTCCCCCTGCCTGTCCCCCCTGCCCGTCCCCCCCTGCCTGTCCCCCTGCCCATCCCCCCTGCCCGTCACCCTGCCCGTCCCCCTGTCCGTCCCCCTGCCCGTCCCCCCTGCCCATCACCCTGCCCGTCCCCCTGTCCGTCCCCCTGCCCGTCCCCCCTGCCCATCCCCCCTGCCCATCCCCCCTGCCCGTCCCCCTGCCCGGTCCCACAGCAGCTCGCCTCCGGGGGGGGGGGGGGCGCCGGCGGGACAGTGCTTCTCTGTGAGCGTGTCCTCCCTCCGCTTCCCGTTCAGTAATCGGCCCCTGCGGCTGCAGAAACAGAGCTGCAGGGTGAGCCAAGGGAGGCTGCCCCCTCACAGCAGCCAGGCGCCCCATGCTGACCCGGGCCTGCTCCAGGCCAGAGTCCTGGCTGCATCCGGGGGCTGCACCCCGCTGGCCAGGGGCCCAGGGCGCCCCCATGCCCCCCGCCCCGCCCAGGCCTGTCCCCTGCAGACGCTGTGCTCACTGGGACCCGCAGCCCACTCCCCCCCGTGTTTCTCTCTGCTCTAGGGCCCCCCGGGGCCCGCAGGCCCTGAAGGCCGACAGGGGGAGAAGGGAGCCAAGGTGAGGAGCCCGCCCGCTGGGGCGAGGAGACGGCCTGGTTTGGGGGGGAGCCCCAGAGGCGGGAGGGGGGGGGCAGGCGGCTCCCACGGGAACATGGAAAATGGGGCACCCCCCCGGATGTCTGGGCCGGGTGACCCCCTGGTGGCCCATGCGCTCGCCTTGCTGCCCACAGGGGGAAGCCGGCCTGGAGGGTCCTCCTGGGAAGACTGGCCCCATCGGCCCCCAGGGGGCCCCCGGGAAGCCCGGGCCGGACGGCCTGCGAGGGATCCCCGGCCCCGTGGTGAGTGCCCGAGGCCGGCGGGGGCGGCAGGGGCACGGGGCGGGCACGGGGGGGAGTATGGGGCGGGTACAGGGGGCACAGGGCGGCAAGGCCACGGGGCGGGCAGGGGGGGCATGGGGTGGGTATGGGGCGGGTACAGGGCGGGCACAGGGGGGAGTACGGGGCAGGTACAGGGGGCACAGGGCGGCGTGGCCACGGGGCGGGCACAGGGCGGCGAGGCCACGGGGCGGGCAGGGGGCGGGCATGGGATGGGTACAGGACAGGCATCGGGTGGGTACGGGGCGGGCACAGGGTGGGTACAGGGCGGGTACGGGGTGGGTACAGGGTGGGCACAGGGCGGGTACGGGGGGCACAGGGCGGCGTGGCCACGGGGCGGGCAGGGGGCTCACGCGGAGCGGCTGTGTTTCAGGGTGAACAGGGACTCCCAGGATCCCCAGGCCCCGACGGCCCCCCCGGGCCCATGGTGAGTGACCCCGGGAGCCCCCGGCAGGGGTGGCGGCGGGACGGGGAGAGACCTGACCCGCCTCCTCCCGCAGGGCCCCCCAGGACTTCCCGGCCTCAAAGGCGACTCCGGCCCCAAAGGGGAAAAGGTAAGGGCGCCGGGGCCGTGGGGCTGGGACCGGGGCCCCTCGCCCTCGCCCGCCAGAGCCTGGGGGGCGGGCACGGAGGGCACAGGGGGCACAGAGGGCACAGGGGAAGGGCGTGGGCCCGCTCACAGGAAGTGGGGGGGGGCGGGCTCATGCCTCCCCTCAGGAGTGGTTTCTGGGGAACGTTCATCTGTTTGTAAACGCCAAGCCCCTCACAGCCCGATGACGGGGGAGCGGGCAGCGTGGCCCCCCTCTCTCCGCCCTCACTGCCCCAGCACAGCGAAAGCTGGAGGAGCCCTTCCAGAACTTTCTGCAGCTCCTAGAAAGCAGGCAGTCTCGCTCGAACCCACACAGAGGATTCACCGTTAAAAACAAACCGTGAAGAGCGATCGTGTCCGCGGGAGCCTGGCCCCCGCACGCCGCCCGGCTCTGTCCCGCGTGTGCCCACCGCGGACACGGCAGGAGGCCCGCCAGGGTCCCCGGAGCCCGAGCCTGGCCTGCGTCTGGCCGTCCTTTCAGGGTCTTTCCATGTCAGACCCGCTGTCCTGACCCGGCTGCCCTCCAGCCCTTTCCATTAGGAGGCGTCAGCTGGTGGCGCCTGTGGCGTGGCCTGGCGTGGCACCCGTGGCGTGGCGCCCGTCTCACTGCCCGTGTGGGACCTGGGCTCTGCCACGGCGCCGCCCTCACGCCTCTGTCCCCACAGGGTCACCCAGGCCTGATCGGACTCATCGGGCCCCCGGGCGAGCAGGGCGAGAAGGGCGACCGCGGCCTGCCCGGCCCCCAGGGCTCCTCCGGCCCCAAAGGAGAGCAGGTGGGTGACGGCCAGCCCGCCTGGCGGAGGGCATCAGGGCTGCGGCTCTCTGTGCCAGGCAGGCCTAAGGCAGGGCGGGCAGCCTCTGCCCCCCAGGGCGACGGAGCGGCCGGAACCCAGGGGCGGCCCGGGCACTGCCCCCGGTGGCCACGTGAGGGCCGACAGTCCAGCCACCTCTCCGCCGGGGCCCCAGGGCGCGGGAGGTGGGGGGTGATTCTCAGCCTGACACCTGGGCTCAGAGCGCGGGAGGTGGGGGGTGATTCTCAGCCTGGCACCTGGGCACCTGGGCACGGTCGGCCCTCGCTGGAGTCAGGCCCCAGGCTCCGCGTGAGGGGCTGCCCGCTGGTGGGCCGGCCGCTCAGGGTCGGGGGGCGTCTGGAGGGGAGACGGGGTGCGGGCCTGGGCGTGGCCGTGTGGGTGGGAATGAGGCTCGTACCCCCTCGCCCTGATAACGGCATTTTCTGCTCCTCACAGGGGATCACTGGTCCTTCCGGCCCCCTCGGCCCCCCGGGTCCCCCGGGCCTGCCGGTGTGTATGGGGAAGGGGTGGGAGAGCGGGGAGGGGGGTCGGGCGTGGGCCCCGTGCAGCCGGGAGTCAGGCAGTGAGGACCCAGGACTGGAGCTCTGGGGTCCTCACTCCCCACGGGGGTGCCAAGCGGCAGAGGCATGGCTCTGCTCAGCCAGGACTGTTTTAATGATTGTTTCAACTTCTTAAAAACGTTAAATATATTTTTTACTGATTTCAAAGAGAGGAGGGGAGAGGGAGGGAGAGATGGAACCATCCGTGATGAGAGAGAATCATGCACCAGCTGCCTCCTGCGCGCCCCACACGGGGGATTGAGCTTGCAACCTGGGCCTGTGCCCTGACTGGGAATCAAACCCTGACCTCCTGGCTCATGGGTCAATGCTCACCACTAGCCACACTGGCCGGGCAGTACCCCGTACTTCAGTCAGTCCCCTTGGCCTGGAGCCGGTGCCCACCTGGGCCAGGGCCTGGGTCCCCATGGCCAGCGGGCCCCCCTGCTGATGTGAGCCTGGCCAGAGGGCACGGCACCAGGGTCTGGGCCGGCTCACCCTCGCCCTCGCCCTCGGCTGCCTGTGTGTGATTCTGGCCGAGGGGGGGAGCCGGCCCTGGTGCCAGGACTCCCCCCTCTGGGGTGAGCACAGCCAGCCCCCGCCTCCCAGGCCCATGAGACCAGTGCCGGCTCCTGGGAAGGGGTCGCGGGGCGGGAGGGGGTGACGGCCAGGCCCAGCCTGAGAGGAACAGGTCAGAGATGGGTGCCTGGGGGGAGGGGCCTCCCGTCACTAACACTCCGCCCCCCTCCACAGGGTCCTCCCGGCCCCAAAGGTGCTAAGGGCTCCTCGGTAAGTGGGGTGCACCCTGCATGGTCCCCGCCCTGGGCCCCGCACCCCCTGGGTCACACCCCTCTCCTACCATCCTGTCCTGAGCTCCCCCCCGGCCTGAGGGGGGGCTGTGTCTGCCCCACAGAAAGCACCTTGTCCCCTAAGCTCCCATCTCGGGGGGCTGTCAACTCCCTGCATGTCAGACCCCCCCCCGGCCCCCACATGGGCTGTCAGGGACCCCGGGGAGTCCAGTCCCCACAGGCCCCCTGGTCAGAGCTGGTTCTTCCCCCTCCACAGGGTCCCACTGGCCCGAAGGGTGAGGCAGGCCACCCAGGACCCCCCGGCCCACCGGTGAGCAGCCGAGGACGTGGACGTGGGGTGGGGCTCTCCCAGCGCCGAGGGCCCCGTGGGAAAATGTGTCTGTGCCGTTCCGATTCCATAGCCACGTCAGGAGCGTGGCCGTGGCGGCGGGGCCTGTCCCCGGAGGAAGCCGAGGGAGTGCAACCCCGGCGGGCTCCCTGGGGGAGGCAGAGGGAGGGATAGACAGGGCAGAGACGAGAGACAGGAGAAAGCACGTGTGTGCGTGCACATGCCGATGTGTGCATACGTGTGCACATATGTGCACGTCTGTGCATGTGCATGTGTGTGCCTATGGGTGGGCACAGCAGACAAGGCCTAAGGTGCAGGCAGCGCCCCCTTTGGCAGTGCAGCCTCTGGGTGCCTGTCCTCGGCTGGGCCCCTGACACAGCCCCAGGGACACAAGCTCGGGCCTTGCCAGTCTCCCGAAGCCCCACTGTGCGCAGCCTGGCTGTGCAGCCCCACTGTGCGCAGCCCACGTCGGCGCTGTGAGCCTCGCTGAGGACAGACTCAGGAACACCGGGCCTGGCTGGGCTGTGCGGCCGAGGGCTGGCACAGAGAGGGACCCGGGCGGGGCCAGCTGGGGCAGGAGCCGGGCCCTGGGGGCACCGGATGCAGGTCAGAGGAGGGAGGTGCTCGGTGCAGACCAGGCCCCGCGGTGGGGACGGTGCGGAATGTTCCAGAGGCCGCGAGAGGGACGACGCGTCCTGAGACGGACAGGTGTGTGGGCCCAGGGCCCCCCGCCCGTCCTGTCGCACCCACGCCGCCCCTCCCCCCAGGGCCCCCCGGGCGAGGTCATCCAGCCGCTGCCGATCCAGGCCCGCGCGCGGCGGAACATCGATGCCAGCCAGCTGCTGGAGGACGCCGAGGGCGAGAGCTACACCGACTACGCAGAGGGCATGGAGGAGATCTTCGGCTCGCTCAACTCGCTCAAGTTGGAGATCGAGCAGATGAAGCGGCCGCTGGGCACCCAGGACAACCCCGCCCGCACCTGCAAGGACCTGCAGCTCTGCCACCCCGACTTCCCCGACGGTGGGGCGCGGCCCGGGCAGACGGGCCGGGTGGGCACGGGGCCAGGGCCCCGGCAGAGTCCTCACCCCCCCCCCTCCCCGCCCCGCAGGCGAATACTGGGTCGACCCGAACCAGGGCTGCTCCAGGGACTCCTTCAAAGTTTACTGCAACTTCACGGCCGGGGGCGCCACGTGCGTCTACCCCGACAAGAAGTCCGAGGGGGTGAGTGCCCGCCTGCCCGCCCGCCGCCCCTCTCTGCCAGCGAGATCCGGCTCCCGGGCAGCGTTAGGAACGGGAACTGGCCGGTTTCTGGTCGAGATCTGCTCCCGAGGTCGCCGTAAGGGGCAGTGAGAGTTCTTAGCGATGAGCTGGGGCTGCACCCCAGGCTCCTGAATGGACGGAGGCCGGCTCCTGTCTCCCCACAGCTGTGGCTGGTCCAGGTTCCCTCCACAGCTGGTCAGCTCCCTCCCTCATGACCCCAGTTCTGACCTTGCTGGGGTGCTTGTCCCAGCCTTACTAAGGGTTCAGCACTGGAGAAGGGGGCTGATGTGTGGATGACTAAGGAGTCTGGAGATGAAAGATGATTTTGAGAGGCATTGGGGTCAGAGGAGCTTCAGCTAAAGGAACTGAAGACTCACCTTGTCTAAGGACCCCGTGCTATTTATTAACACAATTTGTCCCAAGGCAAAGTGGAGATACACACTTCAAAGGGTGAGGTTTCAAAGGGTTACAGAGATTGCCAGTTTGGGGAATAGCCCACAGCTGTTCTGTGTTTGGCCAACAGGAGGCAATAAAATGCCTGAGCTGTCTGGCAGCAGACAATCCTATTCAGGTTTGGGGGAAGTGCCATTTAGCCATTCCACCAGGTGAACTACATGTGTGGCTCACCCTTGTTGAGCTGCCCAAGCTTCACCCACCTTTTGGTGAGACTCTTGTAATTATTACCTGCCGGAAGTGGTATCCGGCATGACCGCAGACCGCCCCAGCCCATGCAGCACAGGGACCCGGTGCATCGTGGAGAAGCTGGTGTCCCTGGTTCTGGGGCCGCCACTTTGGCAGCTTTACTGCTGCCCCGAGCAGTCAGCCCTGTGGTCGGCAGAGACATTTCCCGTGAGGCTCACCACTGCGATTTGTGGGTGTCAATTCAATTACCCTGGTCTCAGAGCCTGCCCTCCAGGGGGACACTGGTGTGTGTGTGAATGAGAGTGTGTGTGTGTGTGTGTGTGTGTGTGTGTGTGTGTGCAGCCAGGCCTGTGGATGGTGTGTGTGTGCGGCCAGGCGTGTGGATGGTGTGTGTGCAGCCAGGCATGTGGATGGTGTGTGTGCAGCCAGGCGAGTGGATGGTGTGTGTGTGCGGCCAGGCATGTGAATGGAGTGTGTGTGCAGCCAGGCGTGTAGATGGTGTGTGTGTGCAGACAGGCGTGTGGATGGGGTGTGTATGCAGACAGTTGTGTGGATGGTGTGTGTGTATGTATGTGCATGCATACAAAGACAGACGTGTAGATGGTATAGTGTGTGTCTGTGTGTGTACAAGTGTGTGTTGCTTCCTATGAGTTGGAGGCTGGGCGGGTGAGGAGGACAAGGCCTCCCGTGGGGAGGGCAGAGATGTGGCCACAGTGCCCTGGGCATGGGCCTGGCAGCCCCCCACGCCCCCCTGGGGCGGCTCGCTGTCCTGGGACAGGGCGGCTGGTCCGGGGGCCGGGTTGGCATGAGGTTCAGGCTCGGCCGGCGGTCAGCAGCCGCAGCCTCGGCTCCCTGGTGGCTGCAGCGCCCAGGAGCCCTGTCTGCGGCGAGCAGCGCCCTCACCCCCAGGCCCCGCTGCAGGCGCGGGGAGCAGCCTGGGGCTCGCAGGACCTGGCTCCACACTGACTGACGGGCGGTTTGAGGTCCTCCCATTCCTTAATCCTCACCCGAGGGGATTCCCATGGCTTCTCTAAGGGAGGGGGAGGGAGGGGGAGGAGAGAGCGGGGAGGGGGGAGGGAGAGAACATTGATCGCTGCCACCTGCACGCACCCCAACTGGGGGCGGGAGTGGATCAGCAACCCAGGTGGGTGCCCTTAACCAGGTGTGAGGGCCGCGCTCTAACCACTGAGCAACCGGCGAGGACCTCATTTATTTTATTTTATTTTATTTTATTTTATTTTATTTTATTTTATTTTATTTTATTTTATTTTATTTTATTTTATTTTATTTTTAAATACTTCTGCTGACTTCGGAGAGGAAGAGAGAGGGAGAGAGAGAGAAACATCAGTGATGAGAGCGAATCACGGACCGGCTGCCTCCTGCTTACCCCACTCCCGGGATCAAGCCCACAACCCGGGCCTGTGCCCCGACCGGGAATCGAACTATGACCGCCTGGTTCATAGGTCAATGCTCAACCCTGAGCCACACAGCCGGGGGAGGACCCGTTCCTGTGTGCCCTCACCCCGGAACCAGAGCCCGGGGCCGGCACTCGGGCAGCAGGCCCCTGGGGTCGGGAGGAGGTGCAGCCCGGGCCCCGTGGGCAGAGGCTGGGGGCGTCAGGGGCGGGCACAGCTTCTCCCACTTCCTGTCACTGCCCAGCGCTCCCGAGCCCTGGCTGGTGGGCGGCCGGGCGGGAGGGGAGTGCTGAGCGACCCGCTGCCCGCCCCCTCTCGGCGCATGTGCTGCCAGCCAGGCACCCCGGGCGGGAGCCTCAGGCAGGCGAACACCCTCGCCTGGTCCCCTGGGCCACAGGAGGGTGGGGTGTCGGGCAGAAGCCGGGGTGAGGTGTCCCCGAGGAGCGGTCACCACAGCCACAGAGTGGGCCACAAAGCGGGGAGCCCCGAGGGGCCGGGGGCGCAGACACCCCTGTCCTCGCGCTCCTGCCCAAGGCCAGCTCAGGGGGGTGGCGGGACGGATACGGAGCCGTGGCCCAGGCAGAGGCCCCGTGGACGTGTGACCGGCCCCAGTCTGTCCTGCAGCCCGTGGATGTGCCCACATCCGTGGCTCTGCCCCTTCGCCCACGGGGCACACGGCTCCCCTGGGGGTCCCTCTTTCCCTCATCCCTCAGGCCCCACAACGTCCCTGCAGCCTCGGCCTCGGCCCCTGGGAACTGCACAGGGAGACCCCTCCCTCCAGTGGGGGGTGTGGGGAGGGGGAACAGCCGCTGTGCTGCAGGGCATTCCCCAGGTCACTCCTCCAGGAGAGAGCACCTACCACACAGCCCCCAGCCACGCGCGCACACAGCCACGCGTACACACAACCACACATACACACAGCCACACGTACACACAGCCACACATGCACACAGCCATGTATGCACACAGCCATGTGTGCACACACAGCCACGCGTGCACACAGCCATGCGTGCACACAGCCACACGTACACACAGCCACACGTACACACAGCCACGCGTGCACACAGCCACGTGTACACACAGCCACGTGTACACACAGCCACATGTACACACACAGCACACGTGTGCACATATATGCACCCACCACTCACACCAAGCTGGCCCAGCTGTGTCACCGACACCCTGTGAGCCCTGCCCACCCATCCCAGGTGGGGGCCACGCCGATGGAGCCACAGCCTCTGCCAGGTCCTTCCCTGAGCCCGTCAGTCAATGATGTTCATGTTACCTCACCGGCATCCCAGCCTCTGACACTCCATTCATTCATTCATTCACTCATTCGTTCGTTCGTTCATTCACTCGCTCGTTCATTCATTCACTCACTCGTTCATTCACTCATTTGTTCATTCATTCGTTCATCACTCATTTGTTCAGGCCACAGGCACTGAGCAGGCAGGGGCCGGGCCGTGGCCCTGATACAGGATAAACTGCTCACCGGAAGCAGGTGTCTCCTCTCTGGGGCAGCCGGAGGCGCCCACAGGTCCTTCCTGGCCGGGCACTGTGGCCACGGGGGGGGGGGGTCGGTCGCGGGGCTGGTGGAGGGCCGTGGCTCAGCAGGAGGGTAACCCTGTCCTCTCTCCCCTCGGCGCCCGCTGCCGCTCAGGCCAGAATCACCTCGTGGCCCAAGGAGAACCCGGGCTCCTGGTTCAGCGAGTTCAAGCGCGGGAAGCTGGTAAGGCGGCCCGCCCGGCGGTGCCCTCACGCCGTGTCCTATCTTCCAGAGTAAGATGGCCCGCTGGCCCAAAGAGCGGCCGGCCACCTGGTATAGTCAGTTCAAGCGCGGGTCGCTGGTAAGTGCCCGGCCGCCCGCTTGCCGCCCGGCCTGGCTCGCGGCTCTGCATGGGCTCCGGCCGCCGGCCGCACCTGCTCCGCCTCTGGCCGAACCGCTCACGGCACAGGCATCGCCCCGCCACCCCACGGCCGCTCCCTTCCGCCTGGGGCAGAGCGGTGTCCGGGCTGCGGGCATGGGCGGGCATCCAGGACCCGGAGCCACCGCGGCCAGGACACAGACCCCACGAAGGCTTTCCCATGCTCAGCCTTTTTTTTTTAAATTCTTTATTGTGGGTCTCCTGCTCCAAGCTGGGCCAGGTCCCAGGACACTGCCCCCGGGGTCTCTCCAGGGCTCTCCGCTGGGCCCTGCCCTGCCCGAAGCCCGTTCTGATGGCCGAGCTGGCCCGGGCGTCTCACATGCTCCCCAGATGGCTGCCTCCGTGCCTGTGGCAGTCCCGGGTGGCCGGCCGTAGACACCCTCCCCGGAGTGAAATGCGTGCTATGCCTGGAAAGCACAGCGGGGGCGCTTCTAGTCCCTGGGGAGACAGATGAGGGCTCGTACCGCTGAGGCCAGTGGCCAGGCGCCCAGAGCACACCCCACCCCTGACGCCTCCGCGGTGTGGACCTGGGTGCACCCGCTCCCGGGCTGAACAGCCGCTCCCGCTGGGACCCGGTGCCTCTGGTCCAGTGGTCCCCGCCTCCGTCCAGCGGTCCCCCCCCCAGCGGCCCTGAAGGAGGCGCTGTCTCCCAGGAAGCGAGCTCTGGGGCCCCGTGGCTTCCCACCTGACCATCTGCCCCCAGTCCACCCCAGCCTCTCCCGTGGGCACAGGGCCGGTGTCCAGGTCGCTATGCCCGGTCACGCTCTGAAGGCCCTTCCTTCCTCCACGCATGGTGGCCAATGGAATCGCCAGCCCGCCCACACGGCCCCTCCCACCCCCACCCCCGTCCTGCACGGCCCCTCCCGATCGCCCGGGCCTTTGCCGGCCACGCAGGCCCGTGCTGAGCTGGCCACGCTTGTCTGCTCTGCCCTCCTCACCGCTCCTGCCCCCCTCTGCACTGGCACACGGAGGACCTGGGGCCAGGGGCTGGACCCAGTGCCCGGGGCTCAGCGGAGTGGGCGGAGGTCAGGGTGACGGGCGCAGGAGTCGGGGGGCACCCAGACATGACGGGACCTTCGTTCCAGCCACAGCTGAACATCCACCTCGGTGAACGTCCTATTTGTTTCACAGGCAGGAGGCCGAGGCTGGCGGGGGGGCTGGCGGGGGGGGTGGCGAGGGGAGGCCGAAGGGCCAGGGCAAAGCTCCTGTTGTCCCCACTCCTGCTGCCATGTCTGGCTCTGACCTGCGAGTGGAAGGACAGGGGTGCCATCCCTGGAGGGAACAGGCTCATGGGGCAGGCGGGCAGGCCGGCCGAGCCCGTGGAGACGCAGTGCAGGGCCCTTGCCCGGAGCGCAGGTGTCACAGTGGAACTGGGGTCCGCACGGCCCTGGGCACAGCGAGCTGCAGGGCCTCCGCGTCCAGCCCCCGCCGCCTCCCTGCGCCCCCCCCCCCCCCCCCGCACACCTCCCCCCTCTCCCCGCCGCCTGCGTCCTCTCCCGAGTCAGTCACCTTTCCCAGGAGCACCTGCGGCCGCACGGTTGGTATCAGTCCTCCCCCAAGGTCCTCGGAGGGCGGAGGGCGTGTGGGTGCCCCTTCCAGCCAGGCCCCACGTCGGGGGCGGGGACAGAGCCCGGGAAGGTCTCCGTGTGCCCGCCCCTCTCCGGGAGGGCGGGGCCGGCTCAGACCCTGCCGGTGCCACCCTCTCCCGGCGCCGGCGGGCACTGCCAGCGAGGAGAGCCTGGCTCCCGCAGGGGCGCCTCGGCAGAGGAGCTGTGGCCCCGGGCGGGCGGAGTCCCGGGCCCAGAGGCCGGCTCCCGGAGGCGGAGAAACGGACGGCTCTCGGGATGCCCTGCCGGCCCCGCGCCAGGCCCAGCCTGCAGCCTACGCCCCTCTGGCTGGGAGCCCGGGGGGGGGGGGTCAGTGGGTGACGCAGGAGAGGTCCCCCAGAGCAGCACCCTCTCCGGCCCGGCTCTGTGCTGGCGCCCGGGTCCATCCCACACGTGACCACCTGGGTTCCGTGCCCGGCGGGGGCAGGGACACCCCAGGGTCACCCCACCTCCTGGCTCTTGGCCGTACGGCTTGGCCCTCTGACCTGCCGTCCTCAGCCCCCTGGCCAGGCCTCTCCATCACTGACCCCCAGCACCGGGCGCTCATGGTTCACAGGATCTAATGAGCCTTTGGCCGGCCTCGGGCAGAGACAGGGAGGGCCTGGCCCTGGGGAGCTCAGTGTCCAGAAAGGGCTGCTGTCCAGGCCCCAGGCGCCTACGCCCCTCGCCCTGGGGCCACGGTGGAGGTGAGGGCCCTTAACCTAGGGGGGCTCCCTGGAGGAGGAGGCACGTGCTCTGAGCCCTGAGGACGCGCAGGAGGGGCTGGGCACAGGTGGGGCAGTTTTTTGGGTTCCTGAGAAGGTGAGCTGTGGCCCGGGGGCCCTCAGCGCCGGTGTGTGCCGGCGTCCGGCGGGCGAGAGGCAGCCGCCCGGTGTGGCTCACGCTGTGGGGGAGCGCCCATGGATGGGGCGGGGGCGGGCGCCGTGGCGAGCGTGGCCCCACAGCCGAGCACCCTCCTCCTCCCCCGCAGCTGTCCTACGTGGACGCCGAGGGCAGCCCGGTGGGCGTGGTGCAGATGACCTTCCTGCGGCTGCTGAGCGCCTCGGCCAGCCAGAACGTCACCTACAACTGCTACCAGTCGGTGGCCTGGCAGGACGCGGCCACGGGCGGCTACGACAAGGCCATGCGCTTCCTGGGCTCCAACGACGAGGAGATGTCCTACGACAACAGCCCCTACATCCGCGCGCTGGTGGACGGCTGCGCGGTGAGGCCGGGCGCGGGCAGGGCCGGAGTGGGACGTGGGGGGCCGGAGTGGGACGTGGGGGGCCGGAGTGGGACGTGGGGGGACGGAGTGGGACGTGGGGGGCCAGAGTGGGACGGGGGGGGCCGGAGTGGGATGTGGGGGGCCGGAATGGGACGTGGGGGGCCGGAGTGGGACGTGGGGCCGGAGTGGGACGTGGGGGACCGGAGTGGGACGTGGGGGGCCGGAATGGGACGTGGGGGAACGGAGTAGGACGTGGAGGGCCGGTGGGGGGTGGGGGCCGCCCCGAGGCTGGCCGGCCTGACTCCCCCGCCCCCTCCGCCCCAGACCCGGAAGGGCTACCAGAAGACGGTGCTGGCGATCGACACGCCCAAGGTGGAGCAGGTGCCCATCGTGGACATCATGTTCAACGACTTCGGCGAGGCCGCCCAGAAGTTCGGGTTCGAAGTGGGGCCCGCCTGCTTCCTGGGCTAGGGGCGCCGCCCCACCAACTCGTGACCTCAGCGCGCCCGCGGGCGTCCCGCCCCGACCTCGTCCGCCCGGCCCGCCAGGCCGCCCCGACCCCAGAGAGGAGAGAGCCGCGCCCACTCAGCGCCGAATCACATGACCGAGACGCCCCCGCCCACCGTCTCCAGCCCGGCTCTCTCTGCTCCACGGACGGGACAGGCCACGCCACCGCTCACCTCGCCCTGGAGCCGCTGTGGGGCGGGCGGGCCTGGGGTTCGGAGCGGACACTTTGAAAAGCCCCCTGGAAGACCTGCGGCCCCCTGGCCTTCCACAAAGTTCCCGGGCGCCCCCCGGAGCCCGCCGCGCCCCACCCAGGCCGGTGCCAGCCGATCCCGGGCCGTCCGCCTCCCCGGTGCTCTGTCGTGTGATGTGAAGCAAACGTGTGAACTGTGTTGTCATGGCCGTTCAGTGTCCCCGACTTCCAGCCACGGAGGCCAGCCCAGCTCAGTCCCAGGGAGAAGGGGAGGGGGTGGGGTGCCATGCCCGCGCCGGATGCAGTCCCTCTGGCCAGACCCGGAGCCCCCCCGCCCCACGGGCCCGTGCAGGGCAGGAGGGGGACCCCTGCCCGGGACAGAGAGGACACGCAGGCGCGGCTGGCTCCTGCCTCGGGCTTCCACCGGCTCTGGCTTTCCACGGGAGGAAGTGGCATTCACCGCTGCCTTCTCGGCGGGCACTGGGGTGGAAGGCGGGCTCAGTGGCCCCCGGTGCCTCCCCCGCGGGCGTGTCCGGGGCCGGAGGCCGCGTGTCCTGCGGACGGTCACTGTGACACTCGGTGCTTTACTCTGTGGTGCTACCTGTCCCGAGATCCTGGCCGGGCCTCCCCCCTCCGCCCTCCACAGTCCGGTCTCTGCCGGGGACACCACGGTCCACGCCCGCCCCGCCCTCCCCGCCGGGCCCGCGGTCACACCCTCCAGGCCCGTGGCCCGCGTCCGACCGCTCCTGTGATTTGAAAATGCCTGTGGGTCGCCGTAGCAGATGGTCCTCGGCCCGAACGTCTGGTGCTAATTTCTGTGGTTGCTAATTCGTGGACCCGCTCGGCGGCCCCGGTGCTGCCCCAGGCCCCGCCCACGGGAACACACGGGCGATGAACTTGGCAGGCCCGTCCCACGTACACAGTTTGGATTTCCATTGGCAACACCCGCACGGCTCTGGGCGCGCTCCGGGGGGCGAGGGGCTGCCCCTCTGTGGGCGAGGACTGGGGCCTGAACTGTGAAAGCGGCCCCTGGGGCTCCCGCAGCCGCCCGCCCACCCAGCCACGCGTGGCTCCGGCTCAGGCAGCCACGGCACAGCCACGGAACCACCACCGCCCACGAGGACTCCCCATCGCCCGTGGAAGTCCGTCCCGCTCTTGCCAAAGAGAAGCCGCTTCCAGAGACCGTGGGACCCGGCACGCCGCGCCCAGGACTGTCCCCCTGTCCGTCCGTCCCCCCCGCGGAGAAGCCGTGCCCCGGGGGGCTCTCCAGGTCATGTGATTCCGGTTGGATTTCTCGTCGCCCTCCTTCCCTCCTGTCACGTCCGCCTCCATTGGCCAGCCCTTCCAAGCTGTAATTCGTCCCGAAGTCAGAACATGCCTCCCCCCCACCCCCGACCATATATTGCAATAAAATACTTCTATATTTGCAGACGTCTGTGGGCGTGTTTTATTCTCTTCCCTCCTCGTCTGTGTCATCGGACGTACACTGAGGGAGGGAAATGGCAGAAAACCTGTGGCAACGATTCCAGGACCTCAGGCCCTTAGCCTATGTCACGTGACACGGCGCATGCCTACGGGGCCACAGCATGTCAGCTGTGACGCCCGGAAGAGGCGTTTTTATTTTTTACTTTTTTAAAATATATTTTATTGATTTTTTTTTTTCAGAGAGGAAGGGAGAGGGATAGAGAATAAGAAACATCGATGAGAGAGAAACATCCATCAGCTGCCTCCTGTACACCTCCTACTGGGGATGTGCCCCCAACCAAGGCACATGCCCTTGACTGGAATCGAACCTGAGACTCTTCAGTCCGCAGGGCAAGAGCCAAACCGGTTAGGGCAGAAAAGGGTTTTGTTTTTTGTTTTTTTAAATCCTCTGCCTCTCTCTCTCCCTCTGCCTCTTTCTCCCTCCTCCTTCCCCCCCTCACTTCCACTTTCTCTAAAAATCAATGAATCAAAACCGGTGTGGCTCAGTGGATAGACCATCGGTCTGCAGACTCAAGGGTCCCGGGTTCGATTCCGGTCAAGGGCATGTACCTTGGTTGCGGGCACATCCCCGGTGGGAGGAGGGGGGTGCAGGAGGCAGTTGGTCAATGTGTCTGTCTCATAGGTGTTCTGGCTCTCTATCTCTCTCCCTTCCTCTCTGTAAAAAAAAAAATCAATAAAATATCTTCTAGAAAATAAATAAATAAAAATCTGTGAGGAAATACCCTCCGGTGAGGATTAACAAAAGAAAGGAAAGGAATGCAGGTTCCTGGCCCCGCCCTGCGGCTGCCGAACTGACAGGGAGGCGGTCCAGTCACTGGCCTGGGGCTCCTGAAGGCGGGGAGAGGGGCCCCGAGAGTGGGCAGCGGCTTTCAGAACAGCGTGGGGGGCGCACAGCAGACGATGGCGGGACGCTGGACGTCAGAGGAGGAGGAGGAGGAGGAGGAGGAGGAGGAGGAGGAGGAGGAGGAGGCTGGCTCCCGTCGCCTGTGGACAGACGGTCCTTGGCTGCCTGAGCCAGCCGGCAGGCGAGGAGCCTGGGAGGGGGCACCTGGGCTGCAGCTGGCCGCTCGGCCGCGGGCGGGTTGAGGAGAGAGGTCCGGGGAGAACTGGCCGGCGAGAGGAAACGGGGCCCGGAGGCCGCGGACGGTCAGGCCCGGAGGGTCCGTCGGGGCACCGCGTTGGAGAGAACGCAGAGGAGGGCTGGTGGGCGGGCTCGGCTGAGCGTCCACCGATGAACCAGGAGGTCACTCCGGTCAGGACACAGGCCCGGGTTGTGGGCTCGGTCCCAGGGTGGGGCGTGCAGGAGGCAGCCGATCCACGGTTCTCTCCTCAGTGATGTCTCTCTCTCCCCCTCCCTTCCTCTCTGAAATCATTAAAATATATATTTTAAAGAAGAGGGAGAAACACTCGGAGGGGGAACGGCCCCGAGGCGGCGGCTGGGAGCTGCGTCCTCCGCTGAGAGGGGGCGGGCGCTCCGGCCGCGGGCCTGTGTGCGGGCTGCTGCCCAGCGCAGGCGGCGAGGGCGGCTGGCCGCACGGGGAGGGGGGGTGGGAAGGGAGCCCCTGCCTTTCGGAGAGGGTCCGCCTCCCGCAGGAGTCCGTGGCCCTGGGGGCTCATTCCAGGAGCACCCACCCCTGTGGGCGGGCGGGGGGGGGGGGGAGAAATGGGGGGGGCGCCCCTCGTTGGAGGCAAGTGCCCTGGCTTAGCCTCGAAGTGAGGAGGTGAGTGAGCTGGGGGCTGAGAGGGAGGGAGGAGGGGCCTCCGGGAAGCCCACAGGCGAGGCCCTGAGAGGCCCCACTTCTGGGTGCAGCTCCCTGACCCTTGAGGCCCGGCTGCGGAAGGCACCTGCCGTCTGGGCCTCGGGACCGGGCCTGCAGGTGCGGGAGCCGGTGCGGCCGGGAGCCTGGGCCCGGGCGTGCTCCCAGGGAGGACTGGGTGCTCTCGCAGGCGCGTCTGGGACCCGGCAGAGGCGCTGGCCTGGGGGCTGCACTCCAGGCCCGGGGCCTCCCCTCCCTGCAGGCACATCCCGACAATGTCAGCAGGAGCTCCCCTGCCCCCGCACCTGCCCCCACTGCTGCCCCCTCACCTGCCCCCGCACCTGCCCCCACTGCTGCCCCCTCACCTGCCCCCGCACCTGCCCCCACTACTGCCCCCTCACCTGCCCCCGCACCTGCCCTCACAGCTGCCCCCTCACCTGCCCCTGCACCTGCCCCCACAGCTGCCCCTTCACCTGCCCCTGCATCTGCCCCCACTGCTGCCCCCTCACCTGCCCCCGCACCTGCCCCTGCACCTGCCCCCACTGCTGCCCCTTCACCTGCCCCCGCACCTGCCCCCACTGCTGCCCCCTCACCTGTCCCCGCACCTGCCCCCACTGCTGCCCCCTCACCTGCCCCTGCACCTGCCCCCACAGCTGCCCCCTCACCTGCCCCCGCACCTGTCCCCACAGCTGCCCCTTCACCTGTCCCCACAGTTGCCCCTGCACCTGCCCCCACAGCTGCCCCTTCACCTGTCCCCACAGTTGCCCCTGCACCTGCCCCCACAGCTGCCCCTTCACCTGCCCCTGCATCTGCCCTCACAGCTGCCCCCTCACCTGCCCCTGCACCTGCCCCCACAGCTGCCCCCTTCACCTGCCCCCGCACCTGCCCAGGTGGGCGGGCCTTCGGGAGAGGCACGCAGAGACGGCCCGGCCAGCCCTCGCTCCGGTCCTGGGACAGAGGGCATGTGCCCAGCCGGTCCGGGCTGCCAGGGGCTGCGTCGGTCTCGGCGGCCTGAGCCGGGGCTGGGATGAGGTGAGGGTGGTCCCCTCCGCGGGCCGGGCAATGGCTGCCCTGGACCATCGGGCTCCGCTTCCCGGCGGGCGGCGGGCGGCGGGCACCGGGCCGGCTGGGGCCTCCTCTCGGCGTGTCCAGGGGGGACCGCTGCCCTTTGCCCTTTGGGAGTTCTCGGCCGCGTTGGGAACGCGGAGCCGCGGCCTGAGCCTGGGGGCTGGGCCTCCACTCGAGGGAGACGCAGACGAGGAACACCTCTCGGCGGCCGCACTGCTTGCTGCTACGGAACAGGTTGCCCTGCAGGTGTGCGTGGCCCCGAGAGCTGTTGATTCTAGAAAGTTCTGGGCGTCCCTCTGGGCTCGGACAGGCAGGCCTGCGGCCCGGCCGGCGCTGGGGGCTGCCTCCCGCCTCCTGGGGGTCACACGGCTCCAGACTCGCCCCCCACCCCCGGCGCCCCCCGGCAGGTCCCCCCACAAACACGCCCTCCCTGGAAGCCGGCCGCTCTGCCCAGACTCCCCGCC